AGCCTTCCAATTTTACAACTGATATTGGAACTTGCATAGACCTTGTGTTAACTAATGATCCACCCAAAGTTAAGAGTGTTGTAGTCGATGAACCCATTTGTAGTTCTCATTCACCTGTCTCTATAGAAATCTCATTTCAAACATATAAGCAACATGCCTTCAAACGCACAATTAGAAATTATAATAATGCAAATTATCAAGGCCTGAACAACGACTTACAAAATGTTAATTGGGATGAAAAAGTGTTTACCTCTAATAATATGAATGAAGTCTATCAAAATTTTACATGCACTTACCTAACCTTAGTAGATAAACATATACCAAAAAAGCAAATTATAATACGTCCATCAGATAAACCATATATTACCACAGAAATTCGTAGGAAAATGAGGCCAAAAAAAAAGAATTCATAAAAAGGATAAGCATACTAAAAATTCATTACACTGGCAAAAATTCAGACAAGTCCGTAACGAAGTAATAGAATTAGTACGGAAAAGTAGGAAGGAGTACAAAATTAAACTTGTCTCCCAACTCATTGACAAATCTATTCCACCAGGAAAGTGGTGGCGTATAGCAAAATCCGTTGCAAGGTTAAAGAAACAAAGCTCTCCCCCATCCTCTATCAAATCACAAGATGGTAGAATATTGATTCATCCAATTGATAAAGCTGAAGAATTTAATAATTTTTTCTCTAATATATCACATATTGAAAATGAGCCAGATTTGCCCGAACATGGAGCTAGACCTCCAGACTACTTCTGTGATTTTGAAATAAATGACCAAGATGTTCTTGATCAGTTAAGCATACTTGATCCCTCTAAACCATGTGGACCAGATGGAATTTCTCCCAGAATATTAAAGGAAACCCGTTATTCCATATATAAACCTCTATGTAGATTATTTAACCTTTCACTTACAAATAAAGTTCTTCCATACATATGGAAACAAGCACATATTTCACCTATTTTTAAAAATAAAAGCTGTCCCCAACAACCTAATAATTACAGACCAATATCATTGACTTGTTCTATATGTAAACTAATGGAAAAAATACTTTTTAAATATATGTTTAATCATATTAAGGAACATGACTTATTGTGTAAATACCAATCTGGGTTCCAACCTGGGGATTCTAATGTTAACCAGTTAGTTGAAATATATGATAAAATTATGTCAAACCTTGACAGAGGCAGAGATACACGCTTTATATTTTGTGACATTTCCAAAGCTTTTGACAAGGTATGGCATAAGGGAATGATTTTCAAACTTAAAAACTTTGGATTTAGAAGTAATATACTGGGTTGGATTGAAGACTATCTTACTGAAAGACAACAAAGAGTGAATTTAGAAGGCTTTTCATCATCATATAAACAATAGATGCTGGGGTACCTCAGGGGTCTGTAGTGGGTCCCTTCTTGTTTTTGTTATATATAAATGATATAGCTAAAGATATATCTTGTAATATTCGACTGTTTGCTGATGATACTTCTTTGTTTGCTATTATTGACAATGATATCAATGCTCCAACAATGTCCCTTACTCAAGATCTTGAAAAGATAAGAAATTGGTCCAAAGCTTGGGCTGTAGATTTTAATAGTGAAAAAACGGTTAATGTTGATTTTACTAGAAAACACATAAGTTATCCTAATATTCAGTTTGGATATGGAGGTGATTATATTAAACAATCAAATACTCATGTTCATTTAGGATTACAATTTCAAGCAGATGGTTCTTGGAACAATCACATATTGAATATATATGAAAAGGCATGTAAAAGATTAAATATAATTAGGTTATTGAAACATAGTATTGATAGAAATTCACTAATAAAAATTTATTTTGCCTTTATAAGACCAATTTTAGAATATGCTGATGTTGTATGGGATAATTGTACCCAAAGTAGTTCAGAATTGCTTGAAAAAGTTCAGATAGAAGCTGCCAGAATTATTACTGGGCTTAGAGTTAATTCGTCCAGAACTTGTTTGTATGGTGAACTAGGATGGGAACCATTATATCTTAGAAGAGAAAAACACAAACTTCAATTGATGTATAAAATGATTAATGGTTCTGCACCTGATTATTTGTATGATTTGAATCAACCTTGTTTTCCTGTTCAACATGCTTACAACCTAAGGTCTGGATGTAATAACTTATGTATACCAGTTTGTAAAACAATGTCATACTATAATAGTTTTATTCCCTCAACTATAAAACTTTGGAACAGTCTTAGTGAAGATGTAAAAAACTCTCCTTCTTTAGCTATCTTTAAAGCAAAGCTTAAGAATTGGGGTGCAACTAATAAACCTTGTAGGTACTTTAATTTTGGTAATAGAAAAGAAAATATCTTGCATTGTCAGTTGCGAAACAATGCTAGTAATCTTAATGCACATTTAAAAAATCATTTTTTATCAGATATTCAATCATGTCAAAAGTGTGGATTTCATACTGAAGATACTGAACATTATTTTATCAACTGCCCATCGTATAATGTTGAAAGAAACATATTGGTAAAAAAATTAAATGATATTGATGTTGTTTTCGAGCTCAACGCTCTACTAAGAGGAAAATGTCAATACTCTTATCAAACAAATGGTAAAATATTTTCATATGTAAAAAAATTTATTAAATCTTCTAAAAGACTAAATAAGGGACACTGTTTATTAAATATTCTATTAAATGCATATTTTTTTTTGAAATATTTGTATTATTTTTAAGCTGGAACGGTATGTATATAATATGTATACAGTTAGGGGGTTGTCATTTTTTAGCTCTACTGGTCAGAGACCAGAAGAGCTTATGCGATAGTAATGCGTCCGTCGTCCGTCCGTCTGTCTGTCTGTAAACAATTTTTCAAAATGCTACTCTTCCTACAGTTTTGGTCCAATTTCAATATAACTTTACACACAAGTAGACTACACTAAGATACATAATTCTGTGCATCGGTTTTTGATTTCGATGAACGGTGTTGCCGTGGTTACTAAAAATAGAAATTTCTGTGAAATTCTTTCAAAATGCTACTCCCCCTACAGTTTTGGTCCGATTTCAATATAACTTGGCACACAAGTAGACTACACTAAGATACATAATTCTGTGCATCGGTTTTTGATTTTGATGAACAGTGTTGCCGTGGTTACTAAAAATAGAAATTTCTGTGAAATTCTTTCAAAATGCTACTCCTCCTACAGTTTTGGTTTGATTTCAATATAACTTGGCACACAAGTAGACTACACTTAGATACATAATTCTGTGCATCGGTTTTTGATTTCGATGAACGGTGTTGCCGTGGTTACTAAAAATAGAAATTTCTGTGAAATTCTTTCAAAATGCTACTCCTCCTACAATTTTGGTCCGATTTCAATATAACTTGGCACACAAGTAGACTACACTAAGATACATAATTCTGTGCATCGGTTTTTGATTTCGCTGAACGATGTTGCCGTGGTTACTAAAAATAGAAATTTCTGTGAAATTCTTTCAAAATGCTACTCCTCCTACAGTTTTGGTCCGATTTCAATATAACTTGGCACACAAGTAGACTACACTAAGATACATAATTCTTTGCATCGGTTTTTGATTTCGATGAACGGTGTTGCCGTGGTTACTAATAATAGAAATTTCTGTGAAATTCTTTCAAAATGCTACTCCTCCTACAGTTTTGGTCCAATTTCAGTATAACTTGGCACACAAGTAGACTATACTTAGATACATAATTCTGTGCATCGGTTTTTATTTTGATGAGTGGCAAGGATCATTTTTCTGTTTATTGCTGTTTTAAAGTTTCAAGTGCCAACTGCTACTTTTCTCTTCCTTTGTTTTAAGTATAAACCAGTAGAGCTACAGTCTCGACAGAGACTTCTGGTTTGAGATATAATATTCATAAATAATACTTGATTGTGAATCTATATTTTTCATTATAATTTTATTGATTATCATGTTCATGTATTATTACCTACTATTCCATCTTGACCTATTATACAAGGAGAGGGTGTACATAGGCATTGCCTGTTGCCCAATCCTGATTGAATTTCTCAATACAATATGTTTAAACCTCATAAGTACAAGATAATTTTTTCGCAAATACAATTGCAAGAAAACTTATTTTTATTTTGTAAAAAGACTCTTATATTTTAGGAAAATTAATCATTCATAAAGTAAATACATGTAACTTGACATATCATGAAAACAATTCAGAAAAAAAAATCGTAATGATGAGAAAAATGTATAATTACAAGTTCATAGAACCCAGTTGCATTTTTATCAAAAAGTTAAAAAGTCGTTAAATATTACATGACGTAATACAAAAGAAGTTGAGAAAATACCAAATAACATACAGGAATATTAAAAGATAAGAATACTTACGGTAAGTATATGAAAAACACGATGAATTGATAAAAAGAATCCTTTATCCAGAAGTAGGATTTCAAGTGGGAAACATTTCACAGTGCTCTGTTTAATGCACATTAAATAATTCTGATGATAAATAAAATTGTCTGCTTTCTCCAGAAAAAAAATATATCTACATCATAATCCATTATCAATCAGTGTTTTCTGATTTTATTTATGCAAAGATGCATGCAAAAACAGTCATTTAAACTTCAATGAAAAAAATAATGGAGTGGTTACATGTTAAAGAAGCAAGTACACAAAACATTTGTTCCTTGGTATCATATATGGATTATGAAAAGGGTCGGAGGGAGGGGGTGAAAATTTTAAGCAATTGGTTGATAAAGTTTGAAACGCATATTGTATTTAAGAATTCCACTGTATTCATCGACGAGACCCTCAAAGCTCTTAGAAAATTTTTTTTCGTTCTTTAAAAAAAGATTAATTGCAAATGTCAGCATAGTTTAGCTCTTTTTTACTACACATACATGTAGATATGAACTAAATGTTTAATTAATTACATGTATTCCTTTTAAATATTTTTTATATATATATGTCATTTTATCAAGTAGCAAATATTTCAATTAAGAATTAACCTTTTTTAAAATTAAATGCTTTTAATCATCGGTTTTACGTCTGCATTTATGTCTTTTTCTAGAGAGTTATTCCAGACTGAAAGCAACAACACAAGTATGGTTTGTGATACGAACGAAACGTCCGCAAGCAGTCAGGACTCGTGGAATCATACACTGGCAACCACCCCTGTAAATAATGCCTCTCTTGAATTTGACTTTCAATGCATGAACACATCATCACTGACTGATTATCACTGGGAAAAGTACATTTTTATCATAGGAACAGTAACTTTTGGCATTGGATTTGTTGGAAACATCATTACTTTATTGGTTATAATCAAGCTGCCAAGGCTTCACACACCAACCTATACTGCAGTCGCCTGTCTTTCCTTCTCTGATCTGTTTGCTTTAATGACTCGATATATCATGATTTTGCCCGAGCCAGTAAGTTCATATTTTGATGACCCTTCACGACAATCTGTTGTTTATGTTTTCATTTTTCTATTTTTACATTCTGCAAATTTTCATATGGTCCTGATCTCCTATATTCGGTACCTTTTCATTACACGGCCATTTAAGAGTCTGAAAGTGGATTGCAGAAAAATTATACAGCTTTCTCAAATTATCTGGATATTTTCTTTTACTATGACTGGGATATACAGCGTTCAAGCGATATTAAGTATAAACAATATCTTATCTGAAAGTATGAAAAACTGGAGCGAATTAGTTTTTTCGGTATACATTGGGGGTCTCCCTCTCTTCGTGATACTTTATTTTCATGTTAGACAAATCTATTGTATGCACAGGCTGCCTTTAACAGAAAGAGAACATAGACTTCGCCTTGTCCGTTCAATGTCTGCAATTTTGCTGGTGATATTGATACTTTATTTTTTGTCCATTTCATATCCCTTTATTTATACAATACTTGATGCCTTATATCACACAAACACGGGAGGCCTGTCTTCCATAGCATTTCAACAATTATTTGATTTCTTTCTTCTGTTCAATAACAGCGCAAACCCTTTAATCTATTTCTTTTTTTCGCTCAAATCTTCAAGACTATTCTCAAAGAGAAGAAGAAAATTCGCTAACTGTAGTATTCGTTCACAATTTTCATCCAATAAAATTATGGATGAAAATAAAAAGAAAACTTTATTTGATGTTTAGTTTGTGGATGGATATGAAGGCATTATATTATTCTATTATACTCTCATTTATATAAGTTGAATCTGATTCATTGAGGATCATTTTTAGCCGGGCTCATTGCTCTTAGAGCAATGCCCGGCTCTTGCTACGGTGTTCAACCGGAAATGCTGCTTCATCAACGCTTAATCAAATTTACGCGTTAGAATATAGTACGTTTGCGCAATCACCTTTGAGGCAATACAAACACTGAATCAAATTTTAAAAGTTATATTTTAAAGAGAAATACCTTCTAAATGATGAAACCACGTCCTATTGCGTAGCAACAGTCAACATTCCTTGATGTCAGGTGAAAGACTGTGCAGAATTAATGCGCACACGGTTGAGATGTATATTGATTTATTAAAAATTTTCAGTACATGATATAATACAACATGCTTGAAGGAAGGAAACCATTTTCAAGAGAGTAGCAGCCGAGGTTGAAAAGTGTTTTTTTCTTGGGGTGAAATTTTTCAATGTTTCGTCGTGCAATATTTATATGATGTTTGTTTCTCATGACTATTATTTATGAGTGTCTGTTTATTTTTAACGTTCTTGCTGTGAAATTTGTTGTGCTAATGTAGATTATAAATGTTTTGTTGTAAGATGGAACTGTTGTCAAAAATTCAAAATAAAACAATCCCGAAGTCGTCTTTGAAGCTCTATTGATTTTCCTTTTGAAAAGCATTCTAGAAGTGTGACTTGCCAGTCTCCCATCGGTAAGTGAAATCCGGCCTCAAGACCTTTCCTTGGTACCAACAAGTTTGTCTACGTGATTCTGATCCTGGAGTTTGACTTAATTTTGAAAAACTTTATTTGGTCATAGCTTTTGAATGCTTTGTGCTGGGGCCTTTGCATTTCACTTGTGGATTTCTTGTACAACCTGTATTAATTTTCTCCTTGATTTTGAAGTTTGGCTCCATTTTGAAAAACTATACCTTGGTTATAACGTTTAAATGATTGCTGCTATGACTGGTCATTGTATATTTTTGTGACAAGACCTTACCTTGAAAACCATTGATTTTTTATTGACATTTGACTTGATTTTGAAAAAGATATTAAAATTTACCATAACTTTTCAACAGTTGATGCAAAGACTTGTATTTCACAGGTACTAGTATACTGTTTAGGACAAGACCTTTATTTTAGTACTAACGTATTCCATCTCTTGACCTTGACTTGCATTGATAAACTTTCACCCTCGCCATAAGCTAAAATACGGGTCATCAATGTTTCACATACATATTTCCTTATTTGACGTCTAGTGATTGGGTGATCTCTTCGTAGTCGGGATCCCTTGCCATTTTTGTTCCCGGTGCTGTTTGTCATGATATAGATAATGACTGTTCCTTCGCTAGAAGTCACGGGTCTTTTGGATCTTACCTTAATGAAAACGCGTAAATTTACACAATTAAGAATACTCGCTGCTCAATGACCGTATTTAATAGGGCTGTGTATTGGGCCAAAAATTTCGATACGATACGATACAATATTTTTTAAAGCGATATGCGATGTATTGGATTCTAAAACAAGTCAATCAGAAAAGGCTTCTAAATCATTTTAATGCATGAATTTCATAACAATTGAGTGTTTTATTACCCATTTTAAAGTCCTTGTGTCATTGTCATTACAAATACTGTAGACGTACTTTTTTCCACGGGGTCATAATTCCGCGGAATCTCAATTTCTGTTTAATCCGCGGGTAGAAAATTACGCGGATTTTCAAGATTGTCACTATATGTCTTACTTTTATATTAACTACGCTTGGACAAATTTCCGCGGAGAATTTGTGACCGCGTACTTAGCGTAAATCAATACCACGCGGAAAAAAGTACTTCTACAGGTAACACTTCAAAATAAAACTTTTAATGACAGTAAAAGTTTACATGTTCAAATAAAAATCTCTTTGTACTTTGTAATAATTAGAAAAACTGTGTTATTTCCTTTCAAATTATATAATTATTGAACAGTTTTAATTCAAAAAAGTGAATTATAATCTTTGGTGATTAAAATTCCCATCTTTTTAACAGAATTAGAAGAAAAACTCTGTCCAATACGTATTGGAAGTTATTTTTCGATACGATATTATTTTTGAATATCGATACGTATCAATATATCGATATATTGATACAGTCCTACCGTATTAGTGCCGAGAATATGCCTAAATTTGCAATCTTTCACTGGTATATGGTATTGCATATTTTTGTGTCAAGACCTTACCCTGATCGAAAATTTCTCGCAGGGGATTAAAGTAATTGAACCATGGGCATGTTTCTTGGGTCATTCATCTTCTTCAGGCAGGATCCATGAACACCTTTTTCTCGGAAGCTCGTCGTTACTGGGCTGATTCTTAGTAAATGATTGTGATGGATATTATGGTCTTTGATCCATCATCAACTTAAACATAAATGTTCATAAATGATTTTCCCACCTAAGTTATGCTACAGATTCCGCTAAGGAGACTCGCTTTTTAGTGTACTTACTTTTCATTACTTGTTATATATTTTTTGCTTATCATGTCTGGTGTGGAAACAAACCCTGGACCACCAAATCTATTTAAACAAAACTTGCGTATAGCACATAATAATATGACATAATAGCTATATCTGAAACCCACTTAGATAACTCTATCAGTGATGAAGATATACTAATTACTGGGTATCATACCCCCCTTCGTGAAGACAGAAATCGTTTCGGAGGTGGCATTGCTTTATACATTTCTAAAAGTATACATTTTTCAGAAAGAAAAGACCTAGACTCTAGAAATATGGAGATTCTCTGGTCTGAAGTAGTAGTAAATAATAATAAATCACTTGTGGGTGTTATCTATAGGCCCCCTAACTCAAAGGCAGAATATTGGGATCATTTTCTATATAACCTACAGCAAGCTTTAGATTTTAATATTCCAGTTTTATTATTAGGTGCTTTTAATATCAATATGCTGTCCAACCAAAGTAGACAATTTAAACTCTTGTTACAACGACTCAACCTAACAAATCTCATAGACAATGCTACTAACTTTACTGTGAGCACTGGGACGTGTATTGATTTAATATTAACTAACAATACTCGTCTGATTCAAAATCATGACATATCAGAACCTTTTTGCAGCTCTCATTGTGTTATTAGTGTTGAACTTAAATTCACTGTCCACAAACAATATGCTTACAAAAGGGTAGTAAGAAACTATGAAAATGTAAATTTTACTGCATTAAACGAGGAATTAAGACAATTTGAATGGAACTATATTTTGTATGATTCAAACAATATCAACGAAACATATTCTAATTTTGTCTCTTCATTAAACAATTGTATTGATAAACATATTCCTAAGAAAACTATTACCATCAGACCTAGAGATAAAGTATTCATGAATAATACCATACGGAAATTAATGAGGAAACGAAATAGGACACACTATAAAGCAAAGCATACAGACAATCCACTACATTGGCAGACATACAGAGAACTCAGAAATACAGTTATTGATGAAGTTCGAAAATCCCGTGAAAAATATAACAAGAAAATATCCTCAATGATTGATAAATCAATTCCCCCTGGAAAATGCTGGAGAATTGTCAAGTCAATATCAAAACTAAATAAAAATTATGAACCAATACCACCACTAAAATCAAAAGGTAAACTTATCTTCCATCCAGTTGAGAAGGCTACAGTTCTTAATAAATATTTTGCACAAGTTTCATCTATTACAGATGAACCAGACATTCCTCTTCATGGTCCTGGTCCACCATTACAAAATACAGACACTTTATCTGAAGTATTTATCAATGAAAATGAAGTTTACGATCAATTATGTATCATTGACAGCAGTAAACCACCTGGTCCTGATGGTATTTCCCCAAGAGTGTTGAAAGAAATAGCTAGCACAATTAAAACCCCTCTAACAAAACTCTTTAATAGATCACTAATTGAAAAAAAGTTGCCAGATATTTGGAAACTATCACAGATTACACCCGTATTTAAAAATAAAGGTAGTGCTCAAGAAGTATCAAATTATAGACCAATATCCCTAACAAGTGTCTTGTGTAAAATAATGGAAAAAATATTGTTTAAACAATTGCATAATTTTATGAAAGATAATAATGTAATTTACAAATATCAGTCAGGGTTTCAACCTGGTGAATCAACTGTGAACCAACTAGTAGAAATATATAACACTATAATTTCAAGTCTTGACAAAGGAAAAGATGTTAGATTTATTTTTTGTCATATCTCAAAAGCATTTGATAAAGTTTGGCATAAAGGCCTATATTATGCAAGAAACTATTTCTGCAAATAGAATGGATCTTCTTAAAAAATCAAAGAAGAAAAACAAAAAGGATGTACCCAACGTTTTGGTCACCAAGTTTAACCCATGTATAAAGGGGTTAAGAAAACGACTTATGAAATATTAAAGTTACATACTTGATGATGATGTATGCAAAGAATTATTCACAACATCCCCTGTGGTGGCATACAGCAAACACAAGAATATAGACGATCTTATCATTAGATCCAAATTAAAATCAAATGAAGTTCAAAGAAATTGATTGATTTATGCATACGGTAAACCCCTGATGATGGCAGGCCGTATCACAATTATAAAATGACATGTGCTATTAATACTGCCGAAACACTCTTAATTAATTTAACAAATGAGCAACTGACCAAATGCTTCATTAAGAGTGTCGGGTTCTAATAAGTTTAAGACATGTCTGGATGTTAAGATGCCGTCGTTTTTTTGCACTTGTGATTCGGGACAATGTCCCAAACGGCATCCGCCCGTGTATCGCCTTCCTTGAACGCGATCGGCATTTCTGAATTTATTGGGACTTCCACTCACGAAGTTCATTTGGTCACATATATCTATCTCCCAATTTAACACTGCTGAGACAAATGGTTACTTCGTGCTTCCCATAAAATTTACACAGGAAATCTCTGTCATCAAAGACCTCTCCATTGTGAGTCATATCTGTGTAATTTCCGTTACAACAAAAAAAATTCCAAAAAGGTTGACTTTTGACAGAGACATAAAGCCAATACAATGACTAAAGTTCATTTACGGACAAATATGCTACAAATTTTCAACAAACTTCGTTAAAGAAGTTTGGAAACAATACAACAAAAATGGAAGATGAGCACATTCCTTATAATCAAGAAGCAGTCTATCTGCAAGAGGATGACGACCTAGCTTTAACTTTAAAGCTCAATGAGGACAGTATTGACACTGGCCCTGAACTACAAGATGAAATTGAACCGTCTATCGGAATCATTCGTAATTCAATGCAAGAACAACAAAGATACGTCATGAAAAAGGCAAGTCTGAAATATGCTATGAGAACTAATATATATCCAAGGTGGCTCTCATTAAAATTCCAGTGTCAGTTGAATTTGCCTAACCCAGAATCTCAATAGCTGATTGACTGACTGAAAAATCAACGAACGACACTATCTATCGCAAGTATGCGAATTTTCTCATTCAAAGAAAAATAGGATTTGGAATTGTATATCAAGATATACAACTATCGTATGGATATGGAATTGTATATCAAAATAATTCCAATCTTAATTTTATTTATTGATTCCCTGTGTTTTGATTGGACGAGAACAAATTCAAGAAAAAGTTTACACATCGATGAATTTTTCAATCAGAACTACTTTCTTGACTGTTGTAAAAACAATGAAAACAGATACTTCTACTCCGTTTTAGCTAAATTATGATTAAAAGAAGTTGGAAATAAAAAATGAATGAATGAAAAGGAGATAAACAGGACTGACAGACGGGAATATTATGTTTATGTCACTGTCGGATCACGAGTGTTAATTTTAAAAAATCGCTGATCATGATGTCATTTTCTCGGCGTTCCATATCAGCTCAGTTGGTATCGTTGTGATGGGGAAAAGAAACATACCTCAGACTCTTGCCTTTTCAGCATCAAATTTCATATGTTTACATCCTACAGATCCCATATTCTCCCTAAATCTTTGAACGAACTAGAGCAAATCGAGGACGTTGTCGGTCTGCAAGTTTCGCTACATGACGTCGTTAATGTCAACATAGCCATGGTCAAGGACGAACTATTCTGGAGAATACGCGTATTTACGATATTTGTTGACTTAAACAACATTCAATGAGTTTTTATAAGTTTATTTTATTGATTGTTTTGACAATTAAAGTTGGATTTTATCAATATTCATCTTGTATACGTTTCTTTGCGGCATAAAGTATTCCTACGCCGTACAAAATAACGGATTGTATGGCGCCTCAAAGCGAAATAATTTTAATAATTTTAAAAATTCGTAATTGGAATTATAAGAATTAAACGTTGTTTTTTCAGAATTTATCGATGTGTAAACTCTGCCTTTTTACTCAAAAGTGCTTCGCACTTTTATTCAGTTTGTGAGTAAAAAGGCAGAGTTTACACATCAATAAATTCTGAAAAAACAACGTTTAATCCTATAATATACAACTATCGTATGGACTTTTGATTGAACTTTTTTATGTCATTATCTTATCATACTGGCTCGTTCACGCTAATTTTCAACATGTTTAAAACTGTGTACTTGCTCCACCAATCAGAATTGTTTGAAACATTGCAGGCGTGTCCAACTCTGCACATGCGCTACAAAACCAATCGGCATTGATGATAATTCTTACTCATACTTGCTCTATTCATCTTGCAAGAAAAATGGGTAGACGCTTTAGAAGAATTATACGCTTAGTTTGGACTTTCAGTAAGGCGTGGCATTCTCGACGTTACCTAATAAGCTTCTGAAATTTACATAGCTTTCCTTCACTGTTGAAATATACATATGATAGAAATGCGGCTGAATGTCAACTGGTGTAGTAAATAGCCAATTAGAAGAATTACACGCTTAGTGTGGACTTTCAGTAAGGCGTGGCATTCTCGACGTTACCTAATTAGCTTCTGAAATTTACACAGCTTCCCTTCACTGTTGAGATATACATATGATAGAAGTGCGGCCAAATGTCGACTGGTGTAGTAAATAGCCAATTAAAAGTTCTCTCACGGCACAGAGGTGGGGCATAAGTCGTCTGATCGTTATCAACAACAATTTTAAGTAACTATGTTATTAATTTCGTAACCAATGAGAATCTACTAGTATTCTCCATTACGTAGCGTCGAGAAAGTCACGCCTACTGAAAGTCCAAAGATAGGGTAAAATACTCCTAAGAGAGAACAGAAATCTAAAAAGGCTCTTTTACGAGTACGATCTATCTCTGCTCGTAACTTGCAGCCAAAAAATGCTCTTTTACGAGTACGATCTATCTCTGCTCGTAACTTGCAGCTGAATAAGAGGAAAACTGGAATCCAAGTTTTAAACTTGTCAAAACATTGTTTGACACGTGCTTAACAATCTCTTCTTAGTAAAGGACTAAAATTTCTACCAAGTCCTAAGTCTTACAATGCCAAAAACATTGTACTAAGAGATTTTGATGAATTTGCACGAAAATTAAAGTGCAAATATTTGTTCAGCAATTCCGATGACAACTTATTGCATCCTTTTAGACAACGCTCAGATTACAAACCATAGCACACATGTGATGCATTAGAAAAGTATATCGATAAGACTAAACTCGAATTAACATCAATGCTAATCAAACGTTTTGAAGACAATCTCACTAAACATGAGAGGGAAGCCTTTGTCTCATTAAAAAGAAATCTTGGGATTGTAATTAAAAAGGCAGACAAAAGCAACACAGTTGTTGTAATGGACAGAGATTAACGAATTTACCCCACCGATGAAACATTTACGTTTTATCTGTAGTTTATAAATGATTTTCTCTGCTAAATGCTTCATCACGCTCATACTGTGCCTATTATGAAGTCACGTTATGTTTGTTACGTAATACATCGACCGGGTATTGATTTACAACTGACCGGGTATAAGTAATCCACCTCCTTCACGTGACAGACTTCAACCAATCGTAAGCCAGGATTTCACGGAAAAATCAACAGAGGTGGGGAAAAGTAATCCACCGCCTTCACGTGACAGACTTCAACCAATCGTAAGCCAGAATTTCACGGAAAAATCAACAGAGGTGGGGTAAAAGTAATCCACCGCCTTCACGTGACAGACTTCAACCAATCGTAATTAAGCCAGGATTTCACGGAAAAATCAACAGAGGTGGGGTAACAATATATCTCAGAAGGCATGAGACAACTCGATTCTGCCTATTATGTCCAAGTAGAAAAACCTGATTTTGAAGCTCTACATCAGAGCATCCAGTCTAAAGTTTTTGAGATGTATCAAAACCAAACTTTAGACAAGGAGACTTATGGGTTTTTAAGCACAAATAAAAATGTCAATTTGAAATGCGGGAGTCTGTATACATAAAATAAACAAACAAGTGCTTGATGCACTTTTAAAAGGCCAATGCAGCCTCCGAAAACTTCCTGGTCGGCCAATTATCTCTCAATGCCGCACACCAACGGAAAATATAGGTCACTACTGTGATCATTTCCTGGTGCCCATTGTTCAGAAACAAAATTCATACATCAAAGACACGTCGGACTTTATACAAAAAATTGAATCTTTGATTGTACCTGAAAATGTCATCCTGGTTACTTATGATGTGACCAGCATGTACACCAACATGGAATTTGATGAATTGCTACATTCTGTCGAGAAAGCATATTTAGCAGACAATTCTAATCTGGAATTACCTCGACCTTGCAGTTCTGATCTTATCTTCTTTCTCAGATGTATACTTGAAAATAATTTTTTCGAGTTCAATGGACGATACTACAAACAAATCATAGGCGCGGCGATGGGGGCACGCCCGTCACCAGAAATTACAGTATACGTATGAAAGACATCACTGATGATGTAATATCTAAATTTCAACATGCCGACAAACTTATTTATCACGGCAGATTTAGAGATGACGGCTTTATCCCATTTAATGGAAGCCCGGATGATATTAAAGAATTTTTTGACATTGGGAACTCTTGTCATAAATATTTGAGATTTACTTATGAAATATCTCACACCAGTGTCAACTTCTTAGACACTAATATTTACAAAGGGATAGCCAGCGATTAGACATTCGCTCGTATATCAAACCTACTAACAGCTTCCAATACTTGCACAGGCAAAGTGCTCATAGCCCATCAGTTTTCAAGGGCCTAATTAAAGGAGAATGTACCAAACATCTGAGAAATACTAGTGATCAAGCTGTACTGGAAGTTATCTTTAGAGATTTCAAAACTCATCTCGAAAAAAGAGGTTATAAACATTCAGAAATTGAACCTATTATGCAAGAAACTATTTCTGCAAATAGAATGGAATCAAAGAAGAAAAACAACAAAAAGGATATGTACCCAACGTTTTGGTCACCAAGTTTAACCCATGTATAAAGGGGTTAAGAAAACGACTTATGAAATATTGGAGTTACATACTTGATGATGATGTATGCAAAGAATTATTCACAACACCCCCTATGGTGGCATACAGCAAACAAGAATATAGGCGATCTTATCATTAGATCCAAATTAAAATCAAATGAAGTTCAAAGAAATTGGTTGATTTATGCATACGGTAAACCCCTGATGATGGCAGGCCGTATCACAATTATAAAATGACGTGCTATTAATACTGCCGAAACACTCTTAATTAATTTAAATGAGCAACTGACCAAATGCTTCATTAAGAGTGTCGGGTTCTAATAAGTTTAAGACATGTCTGGATGTTAAGATGCCGTCGTTTTTTTCGCACAAATGAAATTTTGTTTAAATAAAAAGGGGACTCGGAAGTGCTAGCTTACTTCTTGACTATAAAAAAGACCGCTTTCATGAAGATTGTGTCGAACTGAAGATCAAAATTTCAAGTTAAAAAAAACAATCAAAATCGCCTAAAATTATTTATGTACAAATTATTTACAAAAATGATTGCAGCATTATGCTGTAAAACATGTATAACATTCTTGATTTTTCAAATAAAAGACAACAATTCTAAAACGAATGAGCTATTACTGTACCAAGTTTTCTCAGAATGGTTTAATATGAATCACAGAATGTGACTAAATTTTGATCATCTCTCACAAATCTCAGATCTATTGTCTACCTGCAATGTTGCAGCGATGCTGCGCGCAACTGATGCAGAAGCTGCACTGCGCATGTCCCAAACGTGATTACACTCCCTGAATGGAAAAAAGTAACAGTTATAGAGTGCATTCAAATTCGTCTTGAACGGGTATGTTTGATTAATGTCCCGCACATCGAGTCCGGCCGCATGAATCCGATTCTCCCTCAGTGCGTTGTAGAGATCAGGGTAGTTTATTGTTTGACCTTTTGAGTAACTGTCCAACAATATGGCATCTTTCTTCATTTTGCGGAAAACTTCCTTCTGAAAAAGGTGTGTTGAATTGGCCATGTCTTTACAGCATATACAAATAATGTCCGATTCAGTAACAAGTCGTTCGAAATTCACAAACTCGCCTACGGGCTCGGGATTCTCCGTAGGACAGAGGTCGCTGAAGAGTAGTTTCTCGACCCCCAGCTCGTGAAAGCGCTTGGCCACAGCCTGACCCACGGGACCGTATCCGACGATGCCCACTGTTTTGTCGCTGAGGTCGGAATAGTTTGGTTGGTCCTGGCCACCCATGGTTTGACTGAGAAGAGCTAGGGTGAGGCTAGCGACAGTGTCCTTGGACATCTTTGGAAAGGTTACAACTTTTATATTCCGTTTCTGACATTCGGCTGTATCAATGTGGTTGACGTCTTCACTCATTGTGGCTATCACACACAAATCGGGTCCTATAAAATTGAACAGAGATTAAATTTTGTAAGGCTCTTAATTTTAGGATTTTTATGTCATTCCGTCGCACTTATACACTTAAAAGGATTTATAATAAAAATTGAAAGAGAGAGAATAAAATCACTCAATTTAGCATGATTTAAGTCAAACGTACACTGCAGATATGTCTATGCATACTTATTTTAAAAAGATTTCGCAAGAGTCGATGATTGAACCTTTTAGCTATCAACTTTTTTGGCAGATCGATGTACTGTATGACCAAGACATAAGTACATTGTAATCAATTATAAGTGGTAATGATCACATTTAGGTCATTTATTCAACTAAGGGTACTGTTCGTTTCCTGTGAAGTTCATCGTCCGGATGAACAGTGACTTTTCAGGTTGTATACATTTTGAACAGTGGAACGAACTCTGTTTAATATGACATGATCTAGTTATTTTTCACAAAGATAAAGAAAATCAATTTAAAGGCTATGAAAACTGGTAGCATTAACCCACTACTATTCATTTTCTTCATCATAGGATAGGGAAGTTGCATGTGAAGTGATTTGTGTTCATGATGACAAAAATAGGCTAATCAGTATTATTTTCTAGAGTTCTTTACTATACTGTCATTATAAAAGGCAGTAATCAGTTCTGAAATCAATTCATCACGGGTGAACGTGACTAGCCTGTTTATATACCCATCGAGTGGGTCGGAATGCTTCCCCATGGTCCAAAGTCCAAGTTAAAACATGTTTTTAAAAATGTTGTTTACCTACTGACTAGACATATGCATTTCCCCCGTGAAATAGGCCAAGGGCACTGTATTGCTTTAACTATTGCAATAATTAATCATAATGACACGCATACAAATATTATACTGTATATTAGTATATAGGTATATCGAAAACATAATTTTTTTTTAATAATTAACATCGAGTACTATCAAATGAGGGTTTTTGAAAATTTATACTCGAAGGACTAATAACCAATACAAATATTCAAGAAAGCGTTTTCTGACAACTGAGTTTCCCTTGATTAACGAGTTAAATCAGCTAAATATTTCATACCATTCAATCATTGATTATCTAATAAAGTTGTGATGTTTTTTTTATCAATTAAAATAAAGTTGCTATTTCTAGACAAGCACCCCTCCCCCATGAGACTGTTGACAGCTCGTTTACTTACCAGCACAATTTATTACATCCTTGTCAATACGATCAGAGCTTGTACAGAGTAGGGCGTTCACGCCTCGCACTCCGTTTAAGAGCTCTCCCCTTGGAACCGGATCGGAACTCTCCCAGATGGTAATATCTGCCACTTTTAACAGTACATCCAGGCAACATTGGGGAACATCGGCTGTCACGTAAATTTTAGACCGAGGCTTCATACTGCTTCGTTCCGTGTTGTTCTGTTGTTGTGTGAAGCCAGCTGGGGAAGATCTGTTTGTATTTATGTTTAGCTTCCTTGTGACGTCAGAGCGTTCTACTTGAGTACATTTTACTTATATCCGATTTGCTGTCGCATTTGTTTCGTATTCAAAAATAATAGCGCTCCGCTATCAAATACATGGATTTGCATATTTAAATAGCTAGACAAGTGTATTAGTTCTCTAAGTGAGATTAATGTTCGTAATTATTCATAACGAAAAAATTAAATATAGCGTGCTTGGATGATGCAATGTCACTCTTGGAACACGGAATGGTATACCTTTGTCCACTCACGGGATGATGCAAGTTAATTTGGCATCGAGTGACCAAGTTTTTAAAATCAGACAATTCAAGTTTATAAAGTTACGTCCGCAAATGTAAATTATTATATACTTTTATATATTACTTTTTTCTTTTTCTTTTTTTTTTAATTCAATTTTTGTTTATAAGGAAGTAAACTGCAATCCATTACCCTATAGTTCAGCAATAAGCACCAAGTGGAAACTTATACCAAAATTAAGGACCCAAACTACAATCTTTAATTAACTTCTTTGAATGCTTTTAGAGCAATACAAGTAAACCCATGCGATTAGTCGAGACTAAAAATTGACGCGCCATTATTTTAAAAATGTTACTTCAAATACTTTCTCCCTCTGTAATTATACTTTTAACTAATAAATCACTTGAGTGCTGTATATGTAGAGGATGAATGATTTTGTATCCTTTTGTTCAATTTGTTATCAAATTCCTGTAGATTTGCCTGTTCATTAATTATAGTACACATAGTACATTTGTAAAATGCATTGATTCAGCTGTAAACAGTAGTACCTGTACATGATACATCTATTCCATCCGATGAGTAACTCATAAGGCGCCATCCTTGTTGTTTTACTAAGCATGAGTTATTAATACATGTAATTTAATTGTCTACGCCATCCTCATAGGTTATGATATACGTACATGTATACATACATGTATATAAATATTTATATTGTTACGAGATAAACAAAAGTTAAACGAAATACTAGTGTTAGTATTAAGTTAAAAGGGAACACTTCCTTCTTCGGAGAAGAAAAGTTGATTGCGTATATTTCATTATTTATAGTGATTACGATACATATAACGGACGGTTATCAATCTAAAAAAATAAAGTAAAATAAAAAAAATATATATTAAATTTACAATTGAAATATATGTACAGGAAATTCAAAAGGCGAGATCAAGGAGAAGGACTACAAAGAACAGACGTAAGTCCAAATTTCAAACAAATACATTAGAAGCACAAATTTTCGTCGGGATAAAATTTCGTTGATTTGTCAAAAAAAAAAAATAGTTTCATGGGCATTTTATTTCGTTGTTTTGAAAGTATCTTAGCATCGAAGTCAGTGTCGAATGCTGCCTTGATTTATAGATACTGAATGCTTGAAAAGCAGGTTTCATATTTTGGCGACTTTGGTGTGGACAACAATGCGCTAATTCATGGATACTATTAAAAATCATTTAAAAATAATTAAAATATAATATACAGTACGGACATGTGCATGATTACGCCAACCACATCGAGTTGAAGACCAAAGCAAATGTTTTCTTTTTCTCATTTAGTTAAGGAATGACTCTAATTCTTGGCCATATTATCGAGTATAATCTGGTTTGGGTCAGTTTACGCTTTATAATCCGCGAAGCTGACCCAAACCAGATTATACTCGATAATATGGCCAAGAATTAAAGTCATTCCTTATAATTTAATTTTGAAATAATTAAACAACTTTTGATGTAAAATTGTGTTGCTTTTTATAAGTTCAAATTTACCGCGCAATAATACAACCGTAGTAACGGAAGTGATTTGAAGCGAGGGGAGGTAATGACTGATACATAGATCTAGCAGCCATGATGTTTGTTTACATGAGGTAAGAACGAGTTATTGATTAAAGTTGAAGGTACATTTATTAAATCTGGAATTTTCCATGGATTCCGAGGACTGGAAATGAGGGGATTGCATGGATATGATGATTAAGCTGGTCGTCAAGGGGGTGTGTCCCCATACCAAACCAGATTATACAAAATGTTATGCGTTCCTTTTTGGAAATCAACCAATGAGAGGCGAGAATACAAATAAAATTAAATTATTTAAGGAATGACTCTAATTCTTGGCCATATTATCGAGTATAATCTGGTTTGGGTCAGTTTACGCTTTATAATCCGCGAAGCGGATTATAAAAAAGCGTAAACTGACCCAAACCAGATTATACTCGATAATATGGCCAAGAATTAGAGTCATTCCTTATGATTTAATTTTAAAATAATTAAACAACTTTGGATGTAAAATTGTGTTGCTTTTTACGAGTTCAAATTTACTGCGCAATAATACAACCGTATTAACGGAAGTGATGTGAAGCGAGGGGAGGTAATAACTGATACATGGATCTAGCAGCCATGATGTGTGTTTACATGAGGTAAGATCGAGTAAGTGTTTGAATTTAAAGATAAGAGTTATTAAATCTTGAATTTTCCATGGATTCCGAGGACTGGAAATGAGGGGATTGCATGGATATGATGATTAAGCTGGTCGTCAAGGGGGTGTGTCCCCATACCAAACCAGATTATACAAAATGTTATGCGTTCCTTTTTGGAAATCAACCAATGAGAGGCGAGAATATAAACAAAATTAAATTATTTTTGAATGATTTCTGTTTCACCTGAATACCAAAAAATCGGTAAATAAAGGAGCACAATTAGTGCCTATCATATTTCCAACAGATTGATGGAAGAGACTAAAATATAAATTATGACCACTGACCAAGTAGTACCCCCCCCCTGTAATCAGTCTCAAATTATTTTATTTGAAGCATCAAACTGAATTTCAACAAGCTGATTTTGTGGATGAACAATCACAAGACATGGACATTTCCGAGTTGTCTTTTTATTGAAGAAGCAGTTGTCTGTTATTCAAAGTCTAAATTGCAATCTATCACAAGGAATCAGAATGGTTGTATAAAATGAAGAAAAGTCAAAACGTTTTAAGAACATAAAGAGTACATTATAAAATCGCACTCATCAAACACCCGTTTATCTTGAGTGAAACGTATAAAACAAGTAAAAAGTTTATTTTACAGTTCATTTTCCTGAAACTCCCTCTATATAGAGAAAAATGTAAAATTATAAATAAATGCGCATTCCTTTAATATGATAAATATATATATATATGATACGGTGTGCAAGAAATCAGCTACATGTATATGTTTTCAAATAAATTTTAAAATAAAGCTATATGTATCTAAAATAGTTTGACATATTCGCTTAACCAAATAAGTTAATTCCATCTTTGAAGCACCTCCCCTTTAGGGTGGCCGTTGTTTAGTACAGTTATGATATTTTCTGCCGCTATTTCTGCCATGCGATTTCTGGACTCCCACGTATTACTTCCCATGTGCGGAAGAATGACACAGTTATTCAACGTGAGTAACGGGTGATCAGCCGGAAGAGGTTCTGGATCAGTGACGTCAAGTCCCGCAGCAGCGATTTGATTGGAAGTGAGAGCATCAAAGAGATCGGGGTGGTTAATAACACCCCCTCTCCCTGTATTGATGAGAATAGCAGAATTTTTCATTTTTTGGAACGTATCTTTGTTAAATAAGTGTTTCGTTTGAGGATTAAGATTGCAACAAATACACAAAATGTCGGATTCTTTGGCTAAATCTTCAAATTCCACATACTCTCCTCCGAAGTCAGAGTCGTAGCTCAGTTTCTGTACATCGTGGTAAACAATTCTTCCCACACCGAACGGTTTCAATCTTTTGGCCACCCCGTAACCTATACGTCCCAGACCCATTATACCCAGGGTCCTCTTCTTCATCTCCACCCCACATAACCACATGGGCTTCCACTTCCCCCATTGACCATTCTTCACTGCATAAGCACCTGAAAAATACATGCAATGTGAAAAATTTAATTACTGTTTTTATGCCCCTGTTATTGAAGATTCGGGGATATATTATAGTTTGTGCCCTGTCCGTCAATCTTTCTCTCTGTTTGTCCGCAAAAATTTTTACCTTTCCAGAACTTTTGAGTTGGTGGGTATATGGCTTTGACATTTCACAGGTGTATTTCATCTGAAAAGATATGTCTTTGGGTACCACCTAATTTGACCTCGTGACCTTTAATTTTTATTTTTGACGTTTGCCATACCTTTGCATGGTTGGTGCCAACGCTTTCATAATGCACATGTGTATTCACTGTGACAAGACCTCTCAAAGTACAGTATAAGCAGAATTTTTAGCGAGGATTTAATTTTGGCATTATTAGGGAGGGTGTCAAGATATAAAGCTAAAATTAAATATCGCTAAATACTAATTTCGTTTTATTTGTAATAGCTTCTTTGGTGAGCTTTTCAAAATCGCTGAAATTACATCTCGCTAAAAATAAAATACCATTTTTTAAAGGACAAATCGCTAAATTTGCGTCTCGCTAAAATTTCCACTTATATGGTATTAAAAAGTACACGTATTTGACCTTTTGACATTGAACAGAGATTGACCCACTTTTAAAAATTTAACCTTGACTATAACTTTTGAACCAATAGAACCAGGGCTTTCATATTCCTTTTGACCTTGACCTTGGGGTTTGACTTTGCAATAGAGAAATTTCAACTCTTACCATAAGCTGTCATACGGGGGCACCAGTGTTTCACAAACACATCTTGCTTTTTTGGCCAATACAAAGAACTAACAGAGAGCCCATCTGATCATTAAGCTAGAACACGTAAACGCACTCGAAAAATTCAAGTACATGTATAGTTTGCCCATGTATAAGAAAAAAGCTACATGTAGATACATGTTATAGAATAGTAATGTAATACAATACGAACATTTTAAACTTCTGTTTCGCCATTCTTTGAACATCCTTACCATATCCTCAAGAAAATCATCTCCCATTAAAGGCATTTCTCTAAAAAAAAAAAAAAACTTGCCTTCTAGAAGTCGTCTGGCAGTGAGGAGGACCAGCGCCACCGTCAGTTCCGCCACGCTGTCGGAGGACACGTTAGGGGTATTGGTCACTGCTACACCCTTCTCCCGGCAAGCTTTCAGGTCAATGTGCTCATACCCAACAGACATCGTGGACACCACTTGCAATTTGGGACCTGTTTCAGAAAGTCTAAAAATCTTAAAGCGAAGTGATTCCCCACTCTTATAATAGTTATTCTTTACTCGAATGCCTTTTATGTTTCGGAATTATTTGCATTTTTATGCCCCGTAATCGAAGACTCGGGGATATAAAGTTTTTGCCCTGTCTGTCTGTCTGTTAATCTGTTTGTCTATTGTGAAAATACTTTTCTTTGGATACCGTCAAATCTGACATAGGAGTTTGAACTACGTTTACTAAAAAATAATACCACTCTTTAACCTTGGTCATAATTTTTTAACAGTTGGTGCTAGTGCTTTCATACTTCACGCGTTTATTTATTGTGACAAGATCTTTCAGTGGATATAAATATTTTTGACCTTGACCCTAAAGTCTGACACACTTTTAAAAAACTTTAACTTACACCCATAACTTTTGAACTATGGCTTTTACATTTCACAGGTGTGTTCTATGTGCCAAGACCTTCCTTGGCATAGCAACAATTTTGACCTTGACCTCTTGAGTTTGACTTGCATCAGAGAAACTTCAACCCTCACTATTAGTTATGCTACACGGAGGTATCAGTGTTTCACAAACACATCTTGTTTCATCATAAATAAGTATATCAATTTTGATTTAAACTTTCACTTGAGGATAAAATTAAATTCACTGCGAAATTTAAAGGCATTCTCTTTGAGAGAAATCAACAGTAAATAAAAAAGAAATGTAATCAAAATTATAAAGTTATTTAATAATAGTATTTTACATTACCTCAACGAGGTATTTAACGAGTAATTTAAATGTAAAATTCGGTCCACGACTTAGTGATTAATTTTTGTCTCCCGCTTTCGCGAAAATGAGGGGACATTAAATCTCATTCGTCTAGACATCGGTCTATAGGTCAGTCAGTCTGTCACGAAAACTTGAACCTTGGTCATATCTTTTGATCAAAAGTACAGCAAAACTCGTTTAGTACGAACATGGATATTGCGAATTCACGGATATAGCGAAGGTATCTTGGATCCCCAGCTGTTTAAATTCAACGAATTTCTTAAACGGGTATAACTAATTACGGATATAGCGAAGTAATTTTATAGGTCCCAATGACTTCGTTATAGCTGATGTTTTACCAAAGAAGATGGGGGGATAAGGCGGGCAGAATGCCTATAGCTCGACAGATAAGAAGTGAAAAATTTAATCTCAATTAATTTATATCCAAATTTTATTTTATATTTCATCTAATATCAAAGTATACCTAATGTAACATCTCTATAATTTACAAAAATCTCACAAAGACTGAAAATATTTGCCTATAAAAAAGCATACACAGACTTAAAAGTACAAAAACAATCATTTTTTCATACTTTAGCAAAATTTTCCAATATGAGTTGGTCTTCGCTCCATTTTTTTTTTGAAAGATAATCCTAAAAGTTTGCGATAAAATAAATATTTTTTGGTTTACAAAAAAATGGAGCGAAGACCCACTATACCTTAAAAGTACACTTTTATGACAAAACATTCGCATCTTTCCGAGAAATACTTCGTCCATTAAGTCAAGGGTCATATCACAAACATAATTTAAATGCCCTGATTGATCATGAGCCATGTAGCATAATGGTTAGCGCGTTAGTCTCAAAGCAGTGTGATAATTCGGTATTTTATTGCTGGGGTTCGAATCCCACGTATACCATTAGTCCCCTACCTGTGAAACCGGAGGGGACTATAGGTTTCCTCTGCGTCTGTCCGTCTGTCTGTCTGTCTGTCTGTCTAGCTGTCTGTCTGTCCCCGTCTGTCTGTCAGTCTGTCCCACATGGTTTTTCGCACTTTTTTTTCTAAATGCTGGCAGATATTGAGCTGATTTATGGTACGTCGATGTATCTTGATGTGTTACAGATCAAGTTTGAATATCGTTCCGATTCAATGATTTTTTACGGAATTACGGCCTTTTCAATTTTTCAGGGTTTTCCGCACTTTTCTCCTAAACGCTTGCAGATATTGAGCTGGTTTTTAGTATGAGACTTTACCTTAATTAGTTATAGATCAAGTTTGCATTTCGTTCTGCTTAATTGATTTTTGAAAGAATTATGGTATTTTTATTTTTTAAAATTTTATAATTTGGTTAAATATAGGGTTCGTGATGCACTATATTTATGTCGTGATGCACTCAATTTATGTTCTAAACGAGATTGTCATGAATTGAAACTTGCTGGATAGCTTTTATAAATTAATTAGTTATAGGGCCGCACCAATTTAATTTCTTGTTCGTCGGACATTTGAGGAAAAAAAGTACGAGCGGGCTAGCAGTTAAATAATAATATTATTACTTTTTTGAAGACAATTTTTTAGGCGGAGCGTGAAAAAAATTTGAACGGACAATTATTTTTTTCTGATTTGCAGATTAAAAATACGATAGATACAGCGGAAATTGAACAGAAAATGGCACAAAATTCTAATGGTGCGGGAAATTTAAATTAATATTATTTTTATAGTTCTGTTTAAATACGAGCGCGCGGGTCCGACGAACAAGAAATTTTATTGGTGTGGCCTAGATCAAGTTTGCATTTCGTTCTACTTCATTGATTTCTGAAGAAATTGTGTTTTGTCACAATAGGGTTCGTGATGCACTAAATTAATGTCGTGATGCACTACTGGATTAATGTTCTAAACGAGATTATCATGATTTGAAACTTGCTGGATACCTATATAGTGACAAATATAGATCAAGTTTGATTTTCTCTGGTATAAAATTGTTGTTCAACCATGTAAAATAAGCTGTTCTGATCAAGGCATTTGTGTGTGTCAAATGGCATTCAAAGACGTCACGAGTCTTTCTTTGTAAGGCAGATCCAATACATTTTGAACATTCATATTCAAGTAATAACTGAAATGTCCATATCTAAGTAACAATTTTCCTTACACAGGCTCTAATAAAATGACACCCCAAAGAGAAAAGGGGAACCCGGTAGGGGACATGTATTGCTTATGTAATACTCTCAGAATGCTTGTTTATTAATGAAATTTTTTAGAGATTTATTTTCTCTTAGAAAAGGTTTTCTTTCTCATAATGTCATAAATTTCAATAATGAGAGGAAAATTTAAATACTCAATTTACTTATCAAATGTGATTTCTTAATATCTGACGCTATAGGCATTCTGCCCGCCTTATCCCCCTATCTTCTTTTCAAAAAATTAACTTTGGTGATTACTTTTGAATGACATATGATATGGCGTTCATATCTGACACAATACACCATAAATAATGACATCTCGCCCACGGAGACACCGAAAGCGGATCCCCAATTCTTTATATTTCTTAAAAGTTGAAATAGAATGAAACGGAACCGACGCGTATTAAAATTGTCATTTATCAACCGGCAATGCAATAAATAATAAAATGCACATTGTTTTTTCTGGTGACCGCCCAGTATTCCGACGGTCCGATAGTCCGACAACCCAGTATTTTGGCCGATAATCCGACAGCTTCAAACCAAATTTTGGCCGACAGCCCAAAAGTCCGACGGCCGATGGCCGACAGCCCAGTAGTCCGACGGTCCGATAATCCGACTGCCCGGTAATTTGCAGTCACATGTAAATAATTTCTACAGCAGAAAATTTGAACAAAGACCGCCTTTCTGTGAATTTTTTTGTTTTAACTTTCACACAGAAAATTTTATGATCGGGTAAATAACATATTTCTGTTGAAAATGTATTGAAAATCATAAAATAATATAAAACAAGTTTATTTTTAAATGAAGATTTTCTAATCAGTTGCAATGCTGAAGAGTATAACAAAGCTATTTATAGCATATCCATAACAAAGAAACATATTAAACTTAGTTGATATAGTTAACTATAGTGATAACTTTTTTTTTTTGAAAAATTTGAGGAAAACTTTGACATTTTTAAAACTTGATCAAAAATTTAGACTTTACAAAAATTTAACGTTTTCGAAAACACAAAGAAAAACTTTATCGAAAACTTTGTATTAAAAACGTTTTCGAAAGCCCAGATAAAAAAACTTTTCGAAAATTTGCTATTTTAAAAACTTTTCGAAAATTTTTTTTTTGAAAAACTTCATTGAAAACTTTGGCAAAAACTTTTTTTGAAAAACTTTGCGAAAATTTGACACTTTGATTTACTAAAGTTATTTAAGTAAACTGATATATTAAGTAATTAGCCACATTTTATATGATAGGGTTCTAATGGTCTGGTTCATAGGATGCGATTGTTTTACAGCACAAATGTTAATAAACTATCATCAAACTCAACTTTTGTTTGATAATTGTATGTAGTGAAAGTTGTAACAGGAAATTCTTTACAAATCATGGGTGGCTTAACAGCCTGTGCACATAAACATTTCATTTGTTGTTTTAACATCAACCAACTCCCAGAAAGTTGGAACTCTTCAATTTTGAAAAATTTTTTATTTTGATATCCAATTAAATTTTTTGACGCTCAGTTAAAAGAAGTTTATTTAAAACAATAAATGTTATTTAATTTAAATAATAACTGTTCTGATATTAAAGTAAATTTTTAACAGCAAAATCAAATCAGTATTTAAGCTGTATAAAGTTTTATCTCTGTTTTTGCATTGATATATGCATACGTATATATTTATATAAAAATTCTTTGGTGCCTGTATCCATATATCACATTAAAGATGATGCAGGCATAACAGTAACACAACACTCTATTTAGTTTGTAACAGGTGATGATTAATCACTTAACAAGTGGGAATTTTTCAGAGCTATTAATGACATTTAACATGAATTATTACTAGAGATTTTTTTTTCAATATGCACAATTTGGAAAACACAAAATAAATTCTGATATTTTTTTCTATATAATTAAGCAAGAGTGTCGGTAGTGTGTGAAATACCGCGGTCATCAAAACATTAAATGAAATAAGTGAACACTGATCGATTGATAATCAATAAAATAAAGCATATTGGTGGTAGTACATGATTATTTTTAATGTTCACATTTACATATCAATGGAAATCTTTGAAAAAATGAAACTAATTTTTAAAAAATCAATCAAATCAATCAAATTCTGAAAAAGAAATTATTTTTGAGTGAGGTCAAAATTGAGGCCAAAAATTTTTACAGAGGCCAAATTTGAGGCCAGGCAAATTTTGAGGCCAGGCCAAAATTTGGTTAAGGACAAGCCAAATTAGAGGCCAAAATAGAGGCCAGGCCAACTTAGAGGCCAGGCCAGGCCAAAGGGGCCAGGCCAGGTTTTAGAGTATGCCTTAAAATTGTCATTTATCAACCGGCAATGCAATAAATAATAAAATGCACATTGTTTTTTATAGGTAGCACTAGTGAGAGGTTTGTTTGATGGGAATTCTAGAAGGCATACTCTAAAACCTGGCCTTCATTTAGTGGAACTCTTGGCCTGGCCTGGCAAAAAAGTTCAAACCACGGCCTGGCCTCTATTTTGGCCTCTTATTTGGCTTCAAACCAAATTTTGGCCTGGCCTCAAAAGTTGGCCTGGCCTCATATTTGTTAAACCTCATAATAAAAATTAATGACACAACGATATTGTTATCCTCAGTCAAAAATAATTTCTTTTTCAGAATTTGATTGATTTTATTGATTTTTTATTGGTTTCATTTTTTCAAACACACAGCAGGTAAATAATATATTTCTGTTGATATGTAGATGTGAATATTAAAATAATGATACACTACCACCAATATGATTTATTTTATTGATTTTCTATTGATCAGTTGCAATTCTTAAGACTTTCCATAGTAGGATTGAGGATTTTATAAAGTAAAACATTTAGAAACATCAATCTAAATCATCAAGAAAACAAATAAATGCAGATGGGTAGTAATTACCTAAGACCTAAAAAGAATTTTAAATTTGCTATTTCAAGTATCACTTGTTACATGTTTTATATACTCTTTATTCAGAATAAAAAAATCTTCTTGATAATGTGGACTACTCTTACAAACTGTTAGAAAAAGTGTCAATACTATGATATGCAAGTAATTGGCCACATTTTATATAATAGGGTTCTAATGGTCTGGTTGATAGGATGCAAATGTTTTTCATCACAATGTTAATAAACTATCATCAAACTCAACTTTTGTTTTGATAATTGTAGATAGTGAAACTTGTAGTAGGAAATTCTTTACAAATAATGGATGGCTTAACAGCCTATGCACATATATATTTCATTGCTGATTAACTTCAACCTTATCTCCTGTCGAGAGCCATGCTGCAGAATTTTTTGTCATTAGATATCCAATTACAGTGTTTCCGCACAGGAACAGAAAGTTATAAATTATCTGATAATGTCATTTATATTACTTTTTTTTAAATACAAACTGTGACAAGATTAAGTACATGTGAGTTTTTAACAGAGTAATCAAATCAGTATAATATAAATATTTTGGTATCTGCATAGGTATAAGGTAGTTTATATATCTTTATTTAAAAATTCTTTGGTGCCTCTATTCAAATATCTCATTTAAGATGATGCAGGCATAACAATAACACAATTAACACTCTACAGTGTGTGAAGGCTGTATTTTCAAAGCTATTAATGACATTTGACATATATAAGATTTTTTCAATGTGCACAATTTGGAATCTGATACTTTTTTTTATAATAATTAAGCAAGAGTTTTGTCGGTAATGTCAAAAGATACCTGTCATCAAATCATAAAATAAAATAAGTGTACACCGATTGATTGATAATCAATAAAATAAATCATATTGGTGGTAGTACATGATTATTTTCAATGTTAACATTTACATATCAACAGAAATATGTTATTTATCTGCTTTGTTTTTTTAAAAACTAAAACTAATTTTAAAAAATTAATAAAATCAATTCTGAAAAGAAATAATTTAGATTGATGTTTCTAAATGTTTTACCGGTATTTTGCAAAATCCTTAATCCTACTAAGGAATGTCTTAAGAATTGCAACTGATCAATAGAAAATCAATAAAATATATCATATTGGTGGTAGTGTATTGTTATTTTAATATTAACTTCTACATATCAACAGAAATATATTATTTACCTGCTTAATCTTTGAAAAAATGAAACCAATAAAAAATCAATAAAATCAATCAAATTCTGAAAAAGAAATTATTTTTGAGTGAGGCCAAAAATTTTTACAGAGGCCAAATCTGAGGCCAGGCCAACTTTTGAGGCCAGGCCAAAATTTGGTTTGAAGCCAAATTAGAGGCCAAAATAGAGGCCAGGCCAACTAAGAGGCCAGGCCAGGCCAAAGGGGCCAGGCCAGGTTTTAGAGTATGCCATTCTAGAATTGTTGTCATTCGATTAGTCTGGCTTACATCAGCTGAAGAAGAAGACATGTTAATGGAATTGCAGTATCGATCGACTTTACAATACTGCGCCTTTACAACCGTCCTCTAGACGTGAACAAACAAGGTCAGGGCATACAGTAGAATGATCTAGAATGGTTACGAAGATGCATTGTTATTGAGAAAACAGTTTATAGCCTTGTTCTGTTTAAATAAATACATAATAATACATAATAGTTATAAAAATTAAAAAAAAAAATAAATACATTCAAATTAATATCCCAAACTTATCCACGATAGCAAATACCAATATCACAAGAGAAGCAACTCGGTTACATATAATTTGTTTACCTGCATGTTCCAAAACTTCATCGTTAATTTTATCCGTTAGCATGCACAATATTGCGTCCACTCCTTTAACGTTCTTCAAAAGCTCTTCTCGTGGAATCACGTCATCACTGTCCCAGAAAGTAACGTCAAAGCTGGAGTCCAACAGCCTCGTCCCTGGGTCGGGGATCCGGCGTGTCACGTACACCTTGTACCGCTGGCTCATTTTTGTGTGTGTTGTATTGAGCAAGTCACGGAATCGTGTGGATAACCTTGCTTCGCTTGGAATTTTGCGACTTAGATATTTTTAACTTCCAGGAACCTCGGCATCGATTTTCTCGTGGAAGCATTCAACATAATTATCGTGATCGAATTAAGGTATCCGACCCATAAAAGCCTCAGATTCAATGAATCTGAATGTATAACAGATATACTGTTGGCCGAATACTCGGTATATGTCAGTATACCAGGTAGACATATAATCTTCGTGTTTTAGGATTAATATGTAAGAGCGGAATGTGTCCTAATTTTGACCTTGATCTGTCCTTGAAGAGTTACCCCCTTTGCTTAATTTTAATCAATAAAAATCATTTCTAAAAAAAATCTATCTGGTGAAAAATTATTTTTTAATCGTTTTTCTATTCTTAATAATTAAATACATCTTTCAACTGTACATAGCATTTTGGGATATTCATAGTATGTATTTAAATTTTTATTTAAAAAAAATTGCTTGTTCCCATAGACTTCAATGCTTTCTTCATTAATTAATTTCTGCTCAGGTAATTATATTTTTGCAAATTTCTCCTGGTAACTCTAAGTTAATACAGATTGATATTTTTTTAATGCAGAAAAAATATATATATTGGATATTTAAAGTTAGTAAAAATTCTGTGTACATATTTATTACTTATAAATATCCAACAAAAGAACTGGATCTGATACCATATGAATCATCGTGAAATAAAAAATATATATACTAGATAAGGAAGAAGGGAAGAGTATATTTTGTGATAAATAATTTTTGTGTACAATAGGTACACTTGATATGTTATATTTTGAAATTTTCCATACAAAATAATTGATAATATACAATTTGATAGTTAATCCATTCTATCACAACTCAGTAAAATATTCTGTTATTTTATTTTTATGAGGTCAACGGCCAATGTCATGTGACCAAATAATTACATATATTTTATTTCATATATTTATTTTGGCTAATACCGTGCTCACTATTGTAAACATTTCTTATTCGATTATTTGAATCAAGTGAGTATATAATAACATGCATTTTGTAAAGGCTTTTGTCGAACATTCTTTTGTAATCTTATTCCTGACTGGCGTATCAATCCACTTGCGCAGTAGGTCTGGGTATAAATACTCCATGTTCGATTGAAATTACTTGTCCCGTCAGCCAGTTTTCAAGGTCACAACTCCTCGAGGCCGTGCTGTCCATATAGGTATTTGCTTTTGTAATACTTTTCTTTTTCATAACTTGTTATTTTTCATTCTATTTGAAGTTATAATTTATGTATATTCTTTTAAAGACACGTGCCATTGCCGTTTATTGCTGTTGAATAAACTACATGTAAAGATTTAAACGTGACCTGGTGTTGTTCTGCTCAGTTACAGTCAGATCAGGTCACATATCCATGTTCAAGTCAAGGGACCTAGTTCACCAACTTATCAGAATTCGTAACTACTGGGCAATTTTCTGGGAGAAAAATGAATATATAGATCTACTCGGTCATTTTTCGAGAGAGAAATAACTTTTATCGTTCATGGAAATGGCTGAGTAGTTACGATTGACTTATAAATAAGGAATACACATGTATTTATCTATTTCAGTTGTGTCTCAGATTAAAAAGTGAAGTAAAACTTTGCGAGTTCTATAATATATTCATTAACTGCTAACATATTTTTTACATATCTTTTTATTTAAAAAAAAAACCGATAATGCTACTTTACAGCTCATTGAATTTACACATAGCTGTAATTTAAAATTTAAAAATTTTGGGTTCAAACTTTGCCAATCTTAAAGTTTCTACACAGCCTTTAGAAATTGAAACTAGAAGATACTGGAAACCCTGCATAGAAAGTTTTTTTTTAACATGCAAGGATATTGAAAAGGATGAATCACATTTCAAAATTTTCAGGGAACTTGATACAAGTATTGGTCAGATGTTTGCAACATGCATGTACATGTAAATACATGTGCATGTCATGTATTTAATTTTTCAGTAAAGGTAAAACCATTATTTTCATAGTAAAAAAGACTTTATTTTTGTCTATCTGGATCTCTATACTCGTAACAACGCTTCGCCTCAAAGAGGATTTTACACATAGTATGTTGCATTGTGTTGGTCTTTTATTTACAATTTTAAATTTTTCTTTGTATAAAAATTAGTTTATTGAAAATGCAAGGTTCTCTGCACACATCCTATTGTGTTATTTGCTACATGCATTAGCTAGGTACCCGAGGCATTCCGAAGTGCAAGCTTTTTCCCCCCCCCCCCTCCCCGTCAATGTCAAGATCTGTAAAAATAGACATGTATGTTGAGAGAAATTTATGTAATTTATGTAATTTTGGCTCCTTTTCTTGGGATAAGCTAATTATTTTCATTTCGGAAAAAAATGGGTTGCAATTTTTTTTACAGTACGATTTGAGCTTCCGGTGTTACATAATCAGCCGTTACAAACAGCCAAAGAAGGTAATCCATCAATCTGTCAACAATAACAAAATACTAAAATAGACTGGACCAAGGAGACTATAGTTTTTTATTCTTAAAATAAGAAACCATAGTATTTCATTACTGAAGAGAAACCGACTTTCATATACTTCTGTGAATACAATAATTATTTTATGGCATGGGCTGGTCAGTGGTCAGTTCATTGGTGATGGCTGTCGGGATAACAGTCTAACAAAGGACATTCTTACTCCATTGGACCTCTGAACTGAAGGTTTCATGCACCAGTGTATTTAGTAGTCTGTGAACATGGTGAACGATTTTTTTTAAACGGTTAACAATTCTAAAGTTGTTTTTTTTTGAAATTTCAAATTACAAATGATCAAAATTCATAAGCATTAATAATTAATTTTCAGTGACATATGGAATGATAATTTGTAATTTCTGAAGGTGTTGAAACTGTTGTTTTTCTACTAGAAATTACAAATGATCATAGTTTTTCGACTAGTATTCCCTTCATAGTTAATACAAATTTTGATAAAATATTTACATTTAGATAGAAAATTTTAAGCTACAATTATTGGTCCTACTAAACAGAGTACGCTAGTACGATAGAGTACTTTAGAGTACGCTTATAAAATTTTATAAATTAATGCAATTAAACTGCTTTTTGCATGTTTTCTACATTAGTTTAACATAATAAAAATATATTTAATTTCGAATAAAATGGTTTATTTTCCTTATTTTAGAAGTTATTTTAATTTTTGATTTCATGTTACAGTTTATCATTTGATCCTGATCCCGATCTAATTTAACTTGAAATGTTTTCATTGTTCATGTGAAAAATGTTAAATTTTACGTAATGTAATTAATTTAATCTTTGATAAATAAAATTTAGTTGAAATTAATAAGTCTGAAACAAAATAATATAGTAATCGAGATCGGGATGATATTAACCTGTAAGTGTAATGCATTGATTCATTAATGTTGCTGTCTTGTCAAACTATTGCTAAAAAACAAATATTTGAGACAAATATTGCAATATTATTTTATAATAGTGTTTAATCAAGTTGTATTTACATAAATAAACAGTCTAATTATATTAAATTGCACATTTTTTTCTAGCGTACTCTAAAGTACTCTATCATACTCTGATTAGTAGTACCCTACAATTACCATGATTACTGTTAAAATACAGTTCAATCAGTTGTATTAAAATTTTAGAATCATCTGTACCAGATGGTAATATCACAAAGAATTAGATCAGAACTATGGAAAAACATGGGCTTAGTTGATATACTTGTATCTAGCTGTAGAACTGTAGCTCTCTTCTTGAGAAAATTCTGACAGATAAAGCAGAGACCTACAGATCCAAGCATTGTAAAAAACCTTTGATTTCTGTTACATGGAAATAAATGCATAGTAAAGTCTACATTGTGGCATGTTTTGTTGTACAAACTACCATATAACAGATATATCACATTAAAAATAAATTATTTTATAAGACATGTATTATAAATAAATTAAAATGATTTATTTTGCAGCTTTTCTGGTAAGATGGAAGCTACTAATCATGTGACTGAGGATTTCCAGAATGAACAAGATGACAGAAGTAAGGACACACCTATCCATGCCTGTGAAATCTGTGGGAAGACTTTTGGTTTATTGGCCTCTTTAAGGGTCCATAGAAGAACCCACTCAGAAGATCGGCCTTATAAATGTGAGGTGTGTGATAAGGCCTTCAAACAGCTGTGTGCCCTCCAACGGCACAACAGGATACACACAGGGGAGATGTTATATAAATGTGACTACTGCCAAAAAGAGTTTAATGATCAGTCAAGTATCCAGAGGCACATCAGAACTCATACTGGAGAAAAGCCTTTTGTCTGTGACCTGTGTGGAAGGGCCTTTGTAGAGAACCAGCAGTTACGACGCCACGTTCTCCGTATACATACCAACGAACGCCCGTTTGTCTGTGAAACATGCGGAGCCCGGTTTGCTGAGAAAGGAACACTGACTTGTCATTTGTTGATTCACACCGACAAGAAACCTCATGCCTGTGATAAGTGCGACAAGGCATACCGCTCGTCTAGTCATCTAAAGCGACACAAAATATGGGCTCATGAAGGGGTGAAGCGCATCCGCAATCCACTGAATTTAACATACACCTGTGAGGTGTGCTTGAAAGACTTTCACGACAAAAACGACTTTACAAGACACACAAGAACTCACACTAAAGAAAAGCCCTACCAATGTCCAGTGTGTTCAAAGTGGTTCAGTGTTCAGTCAAATCGCAACAAACATGTGAGAGCAGTGCATCCACAGTCATCAATTTAATAAATTAAACATTTAATTACCGAAGGATAATTTATTGGAAATCTTTATCATTCTTCTGATGTTTATATCCTGTTGGGTACATGTAGTATACGTTAGATATTTTTTGAAAAATTACAATGATCCTGTCAGTAGATAAGAACAGTTAAACATGCTTGAAATGAAAAGATGGGGACGGACAATTTTGCTCCGTTATAAGTATAATTTATTACATCCGTTAAATTTACAATATATTTTAATGTTACAGGGAATAAAAAAAACTTTGCTGTAAGCGTTAACTGATTATAAATTTATAAGCGTGTTTGCTATAAGCATGTATTACTGTACTTATTTGAATTAAACACAGGACATCACTAATTATAATGAATAACATCTGTCCCCACAATTACTAGGATTTTTTGTGTAAACATTAATGTTTTGATTGATTAAAAAGCTGAATTTTTTTGGTGCGTAGGGGAAGGGGTGGTGGTGGTGGCAAGACTTGCCCATTGAATTGTTACTTATTGATATTGTTTAATTAATTTGTTTTCCCCTCTCAAATTATGGGTAACCTTATCTCCAGCAAAACATAGAATAAAAATGAGCAATATCAATTTTTGTATTAGTCAGTTTTTCGAAGACAATGAATCCTGTATATTTTGTTTTCACCTTTACAATTTTACAATATCGATGCTCTGTAACTCTTATGAGATAAAGTGTTATTAATGTTAAAGTGACTTGAGAATTTGAAGAAACACTTACATCTTGTACCATGTTATAGATTATCCTTTTGTTGACTTTTTGATGCCGTTGATTATTCAGTATTACATGTATTTACTTACAAAGAAATGAATCTCTATATGTATTTCTTGTTGGGCATTGCATTTGCCATTATTGCAGTGATATATTTAATTAATTTATTATTCATTCTCTTGTTATAATTGTTGATCCTGTTCCTCGTTTTGAAGTGTGTTGCTGAGATCTTTTATCAGCTGGCATTTAGATTGATTAGAAGTGTTGAAATACAAGTGTATATTTTAAAAACATCTTTTCTGTGTTAACTGATTTCATATACTTGTTGTAATGAATGAGGCAGAAGGTGTACTGCAACAGATTTTTTGTCAAAAAATGTATCTGATTCTCTTTTGGAAATTAAGGAATCGATCTATATGACAAATGCATATTTTGTTGCATAACTCTTGTTAAAGTAACATATTATTGAGGGAAGAAAGAGAACAGATCTATCTCTGGAAGTGAAGAAAGGACTTAATTATGATAATTGAAAGGGGATCAATAAAAAAAATTAGATAAAAAGTTCACCTTAGACAGGACTCTGCCCAAATGTAATAATACTTCAAAGGTCAATGGAATGTAGTTCCAAGATATTTTTAAGAAATGGAGGGGTAACTTGTCAAAGATAATTTTATTGATAGAGGATGTGATGGTACTGAAAAGTGCGCTATATATCATAGACATAAATCGAAGGGACTGTCGACTCTCTGTATCTCGTAAATCCATGCAGTGAACAAAACAAATATGGTCATGCAATGGCAATACATGGATCCCTTGGTATAACATCAGAGGTGGGATCAGGTGTCTGGGAGGAGTAAACAGCCCCCGTTGATTGTCTATACCTGCCATTAGCCTTGTGTATTGATCATTCAGGTTGATGGAGTATATGTTGTTAAATTTAGTATAAAAATTAAGTCATTTGGATCAAACAGATGGTATGAAACATGCCAGACAAAGTACAACCCAATAAGAGGCTTTACAAACACAGTTAATATAACCACCATCACAAAATATGATATGTAGGCTTATAAATTGAATTGTTAAAATTCCCTGTTATAATTTATGTATAGTTCTTGAGATGAAGATTTTTTAAAGATCCCCACCCTTTTCTGTCTTTCCTTGATGATTTCCCTTTGAAAGGGGGCTTGGCCCTTCATTTTTACAATTTAAACTCCCCTTTACCCAAGGATGCTTTGTACACATTTTGGTCAAAATTGGTCCAGTGGTTCGTTCTTGAGAAGTTGAAAAATCTGAAAAGTTTACAGACAATCGACGGACATTTTGGTGATCAAAAACGCTTACTTGAACTTTCAGCTCAGCTGAGCTAACATAAACATTAGTTAAACCTTTCATATGATTAAACAGGGAAACTATTATAATGTGTTATGGAGCTAGGTGTGATGTGCGAAATATTTACGTACGACTTATCTTAGGCCGAAATCTCAAACATTTGTGTGATGATGATTTATTTGTTTACTGCGTGTCAATGGAGAAATTGATCAGCAAATGATACGATTGAACTCCGAATCCCCGAAGAAGCAGGTGTCTGGTCAAACTCCGTCAAGTTCCATGTGGAATTATTTATATTTTTATATCTAAAGGTAATGTTTGGGTGTTGCAACTACTCTTGATTTATTTGATTATTGTAGAAAATATTTTTCAGATCAACTCGAATTTTCTCAAGTTAAAAAATCGTGTATACGGTATATTTTAGTTAGAATAATCTAACTGTGTTTCGGGGCAAGCCCTAAACACAGTTAGAATACCTCTCATATACTCGCAATGTAGCAAAAAGTTGCAGAATCGCTCTGAAACGATTTTAAAGAATACCAAGGGATTTGCATTGAAAGTATTCCAGTTAGAATGCTTTTGATAATCAAGGTAAATACATGGTTGTGGATTGGTTTTGTACATAGAATTTTTACATGTTCATGCCAAAAGATTGCGTGACCCGCAATTGGAGAAACAACTACAGTTTGATTTAATAATCATTATACTTTTATTTGAGGAGCGATCATTATGATTGATTTCTGAGTTAAAACTAAATGCATTTGCCATACTTTCGAGCTATCATTATTTATCTAGAACTTTTATATCAGCCTTTCTGTAGCGAACAAAAACGAAAGTAGCCCGTCACCACAGCAGAAACATCCAAGTCTTTAATGCGTGCGTTTCAGAATTTCGATTGTCGGAAGCTCTCTTAAAGTTTATATTCAAAATTTTGTAATACAGAAAGACCAGTTCTTCATGACCAGCGTATTCATTAAGTTTTTGGTGCTTAAATTTTAACACTAGGCATAAAATACACGCGAGTGACCCGGAATTGGAGATGACCCGGAATTGGCGACTCCACTGTAAACCTTTAAGGGGTAGCATAAGTATTTAAATCTAAAATATAATCCAAATAGACGAAAATCAACTAATTTTCTCAACGTTTTTCTCACTTCATGCGGCTGCCCTTCATGCTACGTATACAGCACAGGCACTTTTTTTTCAGAAATGAAATTTTAATCCATAGTATGATAATAACACAAGGTATCTAACTCCGATTTACACGGAATATACCCCTCCTGGAGACTAGCATTTATTTAAACGTTCAGAGAAAATACGCTAACAAACCGTTTATACCTATGTCTTCTACGATAATTTATCTAAAAAACCATGTATAGCATACTTGTCTTTACTTTCTTCAGTCTCCGTTATCAGTGTCACAACTCTGCTCACAGTAGAATTCAACAATGAAACAGTATGTGCTAATCTCGGGCAAAGAAGAATTTCAAGATTTGAAAAATGAGTGGGTTTTAAAAATTCAATTCCAGTGTTTAAATATTGCAGTAAGTAAATAAAACTTGTTTACATCTGATTTTCCCTGAAAACATTACTTTGTTTATCCGACGTAATTTCAGTAACAGATTTTTAGCCAGTCAGAATCTCTGTGTGGGATCAGCACATACCCTTTCATGGTAGAGTCAACTTTTCCACTTGGCGAGCAGAGTTTTGATGCTGTTTACGGAAAAAAAAAACAAAGACATGCATGCCATCTATGGTTGTGTAGATAAATTATTATAGAAGACAATGGTTATAAACAGTTTGCCGGTACATTTCCTCTGAAAGTGTAAATGAGTGAGTTTTTGAGGAAGGGGTACTAAGTATAAATTGGAGTTAGATACCTTGTGTTATTATTATACTATGGTTAAAATCTTATTTTCGAAAAAAGTGCTTGTGGTATATGAGACTCTGACAGCTGTCTGATGTCACATGACATCGTATCTAAGTCGCATTTTCAGACAGAAGTTTGAACAGTGCAGATTTTAATTAAGAAATAAGGTATCATTTTTAAACATCTATCGGGATATAAATACGGGTTGGTCACGAGATTAAGTTCCATAAAGCCCGAGGGCTTTTATGATGAATTTAATCTCGTACCAACCTGTTTTTATAGCCCGATAGATGTTTTAAAATGATACCTTATTACTTATATTTACATTTGTGACTTATTCATACTTAATATTTGCCTGATTGTGACTTTTAACATTCAAAATGCATTATTTTTCAAACCCATCGGCACTTATGTAATCCACTGAACGCGTGTCGATCCTTTTTGACATCACTGAGAAATTAGGTTGAAGGTTTATCCATACGCATGTCTATGACCTCTTGACCACGTACCGGTATTTATACAGTTATAGATATGCATTGCTTTCAGTAGTGTTATGTAAAGAAAAACATTTGCAAATGTAAATATTGAAGAATATTTATTTACTATTTATCTGCAGTATATCCATTAAAATCAAAATGAGTTTATTTTTTGTTTAACTTTTTTGGTTATTCTCGCGAGAACGTAGCTTTAACAAATGATGCATTGTGAGTTCAAAGTTACTCCGGAAAAAATTATATAAAACACATGTTAAATGAATGTGCAGTAATCCAAATTTTCTCTTTGCCAAGGTGTTATTATAAGAGCTGGCATTTTGTGTCACTCACTGCGCTCACTGTTACATAAGATATTGTATTTTTTATTTGGAATTTTTATTTAGTTTTGATATCTTGAAAAAAGTTGTTGCTTGCACTAGCTATTTGGTTAAAGGCTTAGAAAAGAATACTGATACATGTGTATGATATGGATATATTTTAACAGTTTTGTTTTGTAAAATAACAGATTAAATCCATTCAGAATGTCTGGATCTCTTTCGGTGGTTTCCTTTGAAGGGGAACTGAATGCTGTTGTGCAGGAGGCAAGTATTTAAGATTGAATTCACATATTTTTTTTTTAAAAATTGTAATCTTGGTAGTTGGTAAATAAAATAAATTCATGAAAATATTCTATGCACTCATGTTTAGATTGTTATGTTTAAATCATCATGTAAATATTGATTAATATTCAAAGTTTGTCACAGATATCATAGGTTATTAAAGATACATTACCTAGTTCGTATTGTTTGAAAAATTCTTTTAAAATTTTTTCTTTTTCATTTCAGTATCTAGAGTTTAGTGGCTTTGATAAATGTACATCAGTGTTCCTCAAGGAATGTGAGCAGAAAAGCAAACCTATAGCAACTCACAGTATCAAATCCAAATCCAATCAAAAATTAGTCGCAATTCAGGTAATTTCTCAAACATGTCAAATAGTATTGAATCCAATCTCAAAAAGATCTCAGAAAGATGTTAATCAACATTAACATCAAGATAATTTTTACAGACTGAAAATGCGAACATGTTGAAATTGGGTTTTTATGCTACATACCAAGTTATTTTCTTGATTGAGAAAATTTCCTTGTTTTGAAGTAAAGATGCAATAATTTTTTTTGCTTGTATCTAAATATTACATATTTCATTGTTGGTTATCATCAGAAGATTTGCTATCAAGAATTAGTCACCTGAATATGAAAACAAAAAATAATACACTGTCAAAATAACAGGATATACACAATTATATTATTTTTTTTCACATGTAAGTTTGATTGAGAAGTATTCTTTGTTACAGGAATTGTTGTACATTCACCTGTCACTTATTATATGTACTAGCTGGAACTTTGTTCTCCCTCTTTGACAGAATGAATTGATGCAACACTTCCACAAAGGAAGGAGGGAGAAATTTTTCAAAGAATGGAATGACAGCCTCCATCCCTCTATCAGAGATGGGGACGCAGTGGCAAAGAAGCTGGAGTTCTACCTGAACATTTACTTTGCAACCTTTCCCATAAAATTTGCCAGAGGACAGGTAAAGCATGCAGCTTATGTTCAATTTATTTCTTTAATTTTTAAATGAAAATGGAAATAAAAATCTTGTTTGATTCATTTAATTATTTTCAACATTTTGATATTTATTTAAAGCATTGATGAATGACAATTTTAGCATTAAAACCACTTACGTTTTACTTACTCCTGGGGTAACATGCTAATATTTCAGAGGGAGGCAGATCGAGCTATGGGAGACTTCAAGAAATATCTGGAGACGAGGGGTGCCTCTCTAAGTCAGACCACTGAGTTTCTGCCTTTTTATGCCTTACCATTTGTTCCTAATGCCAAGAGTCACCCATCTTACAAAGAAATCTTTACAGTAGGCATTTCTATCAGCAACTTAACATATTCTACAGATTATCATTAAAATATGTACTCCATGATGACAGTAGTCTTATTTGTAGGGAAAATATATGCTGTGTTATAATTCCTGAAACTCTTATTACTTTCTTTACAGGATTCTTGGGTAAAAGATCTAGAAGTTCGAGTGGAGAAATTTCTCACCCTGACCCTTAAGTCAAGGCCACAACCCAAACTGTTTGAACTTTATGTATCCTTAATTCATAAAATGTTTGAGATTTCCAATAGTCACATTTAAACCTCCATAGGACTCTTCAAAATACATTTGTAATCTGATTTCCGGTAATTACTGGTATTGATTTGTATAAAAGAAAATTTCCTTAACTCTTTATGACAGAGAGGAAGTAAAGATGGAGATGAAACAGGTAAGAAATAGAGAGAAACTAAAAAAAAATCAATATTATAAAGAGGGGCAGAGTGATACGAGAGTTGTGAATATACAAGTAAATGTGGTTTGAAATTTTGAATATACTGTGCCTGGATGTACAGTAGAGGGACCCTTTTTTGGGCACATGGTTAATTCTTGAAAAACCCCCAAGACCTGATTTCATTTCAATAACTTTATAATATTGCTAGTGCTAATACATTTTTGTGGAAAAAGTACATGACCTACATTTAAAGGTACTTGGACACAGATTTGAAGTTAATATTTTCTCATTTTTTCTGTATAATATCACGAATTATATATTTTAATAGCATTTCACACAAAAATTAATTAAAAATTTTATTTCATTTAAAAGTTATTAAAACTTTAAATTTTTTGGCGGGTTTGATTGACACATCCTTGCACTTTCACAAATTTTAACTTTATTCTTAATCCTTAGGAAAAGTAGCAATTTTGATGTGTTTTAATGAGAAATATTAAAACTTTTATCAAAAAAAATAATTTTATTCAGAGTAGAAATGTTAGAAAGCAAAACACCTTCACAAGTATCGTCATTCCGAACTAAGAGATGCGTACAGAGTTTAGCAAATCGAGCACACTCGTGTTATGTACACAGTTTTTGTAAACAGGGCTCGAGTTCTGTTATTGTTTATATTTAGAATTCACCGTGTGCGTTCAATCGTCACAGTCTGCTTACTACAACTGCACGGACTGACAATATATTGTGTGTATGTTTTGCTTTCGAACGTGTCTACTCTGAATTTTCTGGATTATAGTATTAATATTTTTCATTTATACAAAACGAGATTGCCACTTTTCCTAAGGATTAAGAATAAAATTAAATTTGTGAGAGTGCAAGGATATGTCAATCAAACCCGCCGAAAAATTTGAAATTTCAATATCTTTTAAACGAAATAAGATTTTTAATTAATTTTTGTGCGAAATGCTATTAAAATATATAAGTCGTAATATTATAGAGAAAATAATAACTTCAAATCTGTGTCCAAGTACCTTTAACATGTACTAAAATTTTCATACAGCATGGAAGGAAAAAAAGAATTCAAATGTTTTATTTTTAAAGCTATCCTTTGTTACATCAATAGTATTATAGTTAAAAAAAATCGCTGATGTCGTTTTTGTTAATAATAATTTCTGCAGACCAATTTCAACAAATATCTCGCCTGCAACAACAACTGGTGGACTCGGAGCGTAAAACAATGTCTTACATAAAGCGCCACAATCGAGTACAGGTAAAGATAAAAAATGTCTTCACATGGCACAGAGCACCTTAAGCACCTGTTGTATAGAGGAGTCAAGGGAGGAAATCTGATGCTGTTTCAGGATACTGTCTCTGTGCATTCACTCTGTATACTAACGTTTAGTTCAATGGGGATCTTAGCTGTTGTATGCTATTATTTTGTTACTAACACAGTCTGTTCTTATTTTGGTCTGTCTGTGGGAAAACAGTCAGCTTTGGGGTAAGTTTTATCACCAGAGACAAAATTCCAAGAGTTCTAAATGATTTTGTTGAAAAGTATAGTGTAAATCTTCCAATATTTTAATGTGAAAAATATTTGTAAAATTCAGATTTTGTCTTTGGTGTCTTCAGTTTGATTTTGATTTTTGACATTTTAAGCTGCACATTACTAGAGTGTTAGAGAGTATTTTAGGCAGATTGCTATCATTGTTTCCAACTCCCTGTAATCTTCAGATAAGCACAATTTTAAAGACAGGATACTATTTACATGTAGCTGAAGTTGACTTCTGTTCTCTATAAATTTATTTATTTTTACTTATTTTTAGTACTTCTATTATTTTCATTATCATTTTGGCTTTATTTTTTTTGGTTTTTATATAAAGACTTATTCCAAGTTTACTTAATATTGTACATGTACAATTAAAACTAGGATTAATTTTAAACATTGAATTTTGCTGACTGATTTCTTTCTACATGTACATGTATATAAAGGATTGTTTCAATTGTTGATCTATCAATGAATCATTAACTTATATTACACTGTACACAGATGTCATGTACATGTACATGTATAGGTAGAGAATTACTTTAACTAATTGAAAATTTTCTGTGATATCCATTGCTTCCGCTAAGTACATGTACCTGGTTTACTGTTTAGGGAGTAAATGTTCTTAAATATTTGTTATAGTTCCTTTTTTTAATGGAGGAAAATAATTTTAGGCTGATTACCACAACTTGATTGGAATTACAGCAGACTTGGTAGATGCTCTAGAGTCCACTGTTCAAGGAAAGCCGGTAAGATTTATCTATCATTTACACTTAAGTTGATAATCAGACATTTAATAATGATTCATTAGTATGTCTCTGATAGATTTTGTTGTCACAGATCTGTAATATATAGATAATATATTTAACAGAATATTGGAATTTCTGCATTATGTGTACTCTGAACAGCTGTATCTATAATATTAGTACAAACTTCTGTTTCCTTATTAAATAATCTGTTGTATAGATGAATATAAACCCCACATGGCGATTTTGGTTGATAAGTTAAGGTACTGTAAAATTACATGTTTTCATGGGGTCAGAGTTTTAGAAAAAAAATCTTTTGGTTCGTAGGGATTTGATTTTGAGGATCAAGAATTAATGATTACTTAAGTATGTAACATTTCGAGGTGAACATGAATTCGTTGGTCTCGTCATACCTCGAAAACAATGAAAATTAAACCCCCTCGGAAATTTGTAATTTCGCAGTAATTGTGTCTATTTCAGATAACTCCTGAGTATCTACAGGAGATCTGTTCACGTCTCTTTAGTCACCATGTCTCCGGCTCCGTCGATTTCACACGGCCAGGTACAGCTAGTCATTTTCTCCGACAGTCCATTGCACCACAAGTGTAAGTATATCTTACTGGTTTATAAAAACTATAAACATATTTTATTGTAGCCTTATTAGTACTTCTGAATTTCAGGTGTCTAAAATTAAAATTAATGATGATTGAAGTTGCTAATCCACTTGGATAGTTTTTTTTTCATTTGACTCACTTACCAGTATATTTTTTCAACACTATTATTCTTTACTGAATTAAGATGTTCGCAAGTGAGTTAAGGCTTCATATGGAGGTTTCTATGCAAAATATCTAATTAAATTCCATAATTGCTCTACCTAACGCACAGAAAATGTTAAGACTTGTTTTATAATACATTCTTGGTACCCACGACATGCGATAGCCAGTACACATTATGACGTCATATTATGACGTCATCAACTCTACTACACAAGTTTATAAGAAACATCAACAAAATCGCTTCGGCGCAAGGGCATACCTTACTTTGTTTTACAGAAACAAGGTAGAAAAAGACGCAGGATATTCCAAGGATTTAAGATATTGCTGCACAAATGTCGGCACTACAATTGTTCAGTTACTATTCGTGCAGTTTTAAGTTAAAAAAGGGTAAAAATTCACAGTCCAGTGTAAGTTTCCTAATATTTTTATCGATTAAGAAAGTTCATAGGATTTGTGCAGCAATTTTATTAATTTTAACAATATTCTCCTTAATATTATACATTGTTCATTTTGAATTAGATATGTTATGCCCTTGCGCCGACGTGATTTTGTTGATGTGATTTATTACCTTGAATGAGAGAGAGAAATGACGTCATGATATGACGTCATAATGTGCACTTGCATTAATAAACTGAGGGTACTTAGTTTGTATTAGAAAATCAATTTGATCTTTCTCTGTACATAAAATATACAAATTATGAATTTTTATTAGCTCATTTGCATAGAAATATTAATATTTAGCCTTAACTCACTTGCGTTGGTGTGTTGTTTACAGGCAGCCCATGCAGGAGCCTGATGCCTACCCACCCCTAGACTACACCAAGGTCAAGGATGATCTAGCTAATGGACAATACAAAAGAATAGCTCTACTCCTACAGGCCATCAGATGGGTGAGATTTATTTAGCAGAAATTATATTTGCCAAGTGTTCCTTTTGCTGAACTGATTTTCAATCTTTCTATTTGGTTCTCTAAAGTAAGAATCAGGGGTATCTTTTAAAAATCTTTCAGTTTATGCCAGATTCATAACTCTGGAAAATGTCCTCCTGTAGTAAGCAAAAGTAGGTCTGATTAAAAAAAGGGACAGACATTATTTAAAGTACAAGAGTAAAAATTATTAAAAAAAAAAGTTAATTAAATAAAAGTTGCTGTCATTACAGAGGCTGACCCAGTCCAATCCCCAGCAGAGAGACACGACGATGACGGCGTACAGAGATAATGACCTGTTAGGGTGTGCTAAAGCTGGGGCTCACAGGGTAGGTCTGACGGCTCTAATACAGAGTACGTGTATGTCTTGTGAATTATCTAGAGTATTATTATTTATTGTGATATCGGAATTACAGACAGCAGTCCTGGGTCTTCTTACCTCCCCTGATGATATGGTGAAACAGACTGCAGCCAGACTCTTCAATGCATTTGCTTCTCTCTGTGCAGGTCAGGAAATCAATATTTTATAATATATATAGTGGTCAGGAATCACATTTACATGTAGTTCTTCATATATCCTGTATTAATTGTTGATTATTACATATGAATGCAGCAGATATAGGTTTCAGTATCAGTATCATTGTGATCAGCAACTCTTCACTGTATCACACCTTCAGGATAAACGTATTGAATACATCGTACATGCTTTTCAGGGAGAACCTATCTGGCTCAGAACCAGGATATAGGCTCTGTTTCCATAGTATCAGTATCAGAGAAATTGTGATCAGAAACTCAGTCTTAGGTCACTGTATATCACACCTTCAGGAGAAACTCAGTCTTAGGTATGTAGTCATGTTAACATTCAGTGTATATCTATCACCAGAGAAATGGTGCTTTTCAGGGAGAACCTATCTGGCTCAGAACCAGGAATTGTTTAAGGCTCTGTTAGACAACCTCCATAGTGAGGAGAAGGAGTCTATTACCAGAGAGATGGTGTTAGGGGCACTCCAGAAACTCAGTCTTAGGTATGTAGTCATGTTAACATTCAGTGTATATCTATCACCAGAGAGATGGTGTTAGGGGCACTCCGTAAACTAGGTCTCAGGTACCCAGTGAGTAGTCACCACATTTCATTCTTTTTAAAATTCAGTTAACGTCATTATATTCTTGGATTAATAGTAACAATCTTTGTCATTATTTTATTGTAATTTCCAATTCTTTTGTCTGATCTATGTTTCAGTAGGATTATCTGCGGTTTTTTTTACAGACGTAACCTGCAGTCCTCTATGATTGATGCTGGGCTGATTGAGTGGCTTGTCAAAGTTCTAGAAGATAATGACAACCTGTCAGATTACACTTTAGAGTACTCCGTGGCTCTTCTCATGAACCTCTGTCTCAGAACGTCAGGTAAGGTCACGCAGTAATCTCATCATCATGAACCTGTGTCTCAGGACATTTGTGTGTATTACTATGAAGCGCAATGAAGTGGTAAAATTTTCTGTTTGGATGGAACGTTTTGAGCTATCTTTAGACATGCCCATTTCTTTAGAAAGGAAAATTCGGTCAAATGATTCAATTGAATACCTGTAGAACAGGTATTTCATAAATATAATAGCCAATGAAATTGACAGTCTAAATAAACACCGAGTAAACACGTGTTCGACCAATACATGTATTATTGTAATTACAATCAACATTATAAAATTATAATTATGTGCAAATCCGTTGCAATGCGTGTTTTACATAAGCGGGAAGTCTATATATAGCTCTTTCTTATTTAAAAATCTTCATTTCATTGTAACTCATGTTGCTTGTCGCGGAAAGTGTAGTGTCCTAAGACATTACGATGAATATTCCTTTCTCATTTCTAAAGAAATGGGCGTGTCGTTATGTTATAATTGACGTTCAAAACATGACTCAGGACGTTTCATCCAAACGGAAAATTTTACCGCTTCAGTGCGCTTCATTGTACTCATGAACCTGTCTCTAAATGTATGGCAGTGTTATTCAAGATTTTTTTACTCAGACCTTCAGGTAATGAACCTATTCTATATTACCGTATTTGGCCGAGTATAATACGCATTGATGTAAAATACGCACCCCCCTTTTTGAGTCTGAAACTGGGGAAAAAAACGCAGTTCGGATGTATTATACGCAACAGAAAAATTTACCAAGTGATGTTCTGAACCGGTAATTTGCTACGAAAATCGGCGCGAGGATTAAGTGTCAAAAATTTACTGAACACACTTTTTTCTAAAATACACACTTTATAACTTCTCTTAATCCTGGCATTCCATATCGCGGCAATCTGGAGAAAATTATTTATTCATTTATTTCAACAAAGTACAAGATAATATTGCGTAAAAGTATTAACAGATTTTTTTAAAGAATAGTTACAGTGATTTTGAAATAATGCGTCGCCGTATTCTTAGATGAAATAATTTTATTTCAACAAAGCAAGAGATATTGTCGAAAGTTTTATCAATTGTCATATTTAATTTTGGTTCTAGATAATCATGCTGAAAATTATCTTACAATATTTTAACAGGAAACGAAATTGAAACATCAAAGTATTTATTTCTTTAAGAAGACTACAATTTTCCTCTTCTAAATCTTCGCGGATATCTTATTTTCTAGATGATACCACCTTTATTAAAAGTTTAAGCATAATTTATTTTTCATTTGTCAACTCTCAATTATTTAAACAAGAGGCCGATAAGTATAAGGTAAGGTAAAATTACATTTAACAAGTGTTAATTGTTTAAAGTGCCGTAATCAACACATGCTCACCATGCTCACACAAACCGACCCCCTTTTTAACAAAGAAAATAATCAAAGCAATTAACATGGCAGTAAATAATCAGTGCTGTAACTGTAAAAACATTGCTTTGGAGTCGGTAGACAATTAATTGCCCCGAGGGGTGTTGATAGGTAATTATCATTTGACCAGCGCACGTGTGTCACAACATTGGCTTCCTTTCATTGGAACGTATAGAGGGGTGTTAAATATTGTTGCAGATTATCAATGAGTTATTTTAAACCTAAAATTAATATTTATTGTATTTCATTAAAAAATGATTTATTACTTTGTCTGGCAGATAAGGTGCATGTGCACTATCATTACGGAAACATGACATAAGCATGAGTTAACGTTTAACATCAGTAATTCTCGGAGACAATCAACATGCAGCTCAAATTACTTTTAACTTACTTTTTCATATTATTTTGGTATCAAAAGATTGTAAAAGTGACATTTTTAAGAAGCATACCTTCCAACAATAACTTTCCGAAGTTTAAAATATGGTAATAAACAAAAGAAATTGCATATGTCTCTAGGTAATACTACGGTATGTACGTATGATAGCCGTGTTTCACCTGAAAGAAAAACTTGTCAAAATCCCATTGTGATGTAAAATACGCATCCCTTTCTCACAGTAATTTATTTTAGGAAAAAAGTGCGTATTGTACTCCCCGAAATACGGTAGTTGTCACAAAGGAGAGGACATTGTAAGTTTTCAGAACTTGTTTCTGGTCCTTTTTAAACTATAAAACTGCAGTATGTTAGAATCAGTAGAGGTTAAATTTAAAACAAAATATTGCTTTTACAAGCTAGCTTCATCTGTTTTAGGCAAAAAGCGTTGTGTGGGAAATGCACACCAGACCCTGAAAGTGCTAAGTGATCTCCTTGGACATGAAAATCAGGAAGTAAGACATGGTTACACAATTTTATAGCATGAAAAAGTTGATGTTCCATGATTTAAAAGTGTAGAAGTAGGATATTTATACAAGCTTAAACATTATAACAATGTAGTGAATATACTGAATGTATACATTGACAGATCCGTCCTTATGTAAATGGTGCCTTGTACAGCATTTTAGCTATTCCATCCATCAGAGAAGAAGCAAAGGCTATGGTAAGACTATCTTTCTTCCTTATTAAGTGATTTGTGTTTTACCATTACGCATGGTTCCAAAAATTGCACCCAAACCCACATCTACATGCGAGCGGTGCGGATCTTGTTATGTGTTGGTGTTAGCAGGCATACTCTCTCTAAACGATCCTTGAGTGTGCTCACACCCCCAGATAAGGTCGGTTAAACTATGAATAGGTTCTGTCATAATCTTTAAACTTTTCATACTGTTATAAATTTTAGTGTTTTAGAATTGTTGCATATTGGTTTGAGCATAAATGGTTGTAGAATGAATAAAACTTTTATACAAGAATTTAAATTTGTAGGTATATATGAGGTTTTTGAATGAATTTTTCAATAGAATTGAGTTTAAAAAGTAGAATTTTTCTTAAAATGTCAAATAAAATTGCTATGTAAAAATAGTGCTATTTAAAAGGGAGGTAATTATAATCAGATGAATTTGAATTATCTTTCTTTGATTTTCTAGGGTATGGAGGAAATTCTGCGATGCTTTATTAAAGATGATCAACCAGATATGAACAGACAGATTGAATTTATCATAAAACAGCTGAATTCAGGTATGTCCTTCAGATAAAAGTGAATGTCTATGTTTGCAACAGATGTACATTTAGTCATTTTTAAAAACTATTTAAATTCAGACCTGTGAATTTAGAAAAATTCTTGTATTTGATAATGAACACATGATATCTTTGAAAAGAAATTTGAAATAGGCCTTTTATATTATTTTATGATTCATTGATATGTATGAAAAAGAGTTTAGAATTAAACGTGTATTAATTACTCTTGGTCCTCAGCGGAGACTGTAGACGAGTACGAATCAGATGACGAGGAAGATGACGAAGAAGAGGTCAGTGGGTTTTAAGTTTATTCAATATTCCTTATAGTTTTATAAAGTATTCTATAAAATTAAAAAATATATATATTTTACTGTTTGAAATTAGTAATTTGTATGGGTTTTTAATTGGGTTTTGTTTTTTTGTATTCAGAGACCGAAAAGTTTACATCCTCCAGAAAATGTAAACATTTCATTCTGCAGTATGTCTCTCCTTTAAACCCCAAAATAAATCCAATTGAATCATTTATTTTCTAACCCCATAAAATATTACCCCACAATTAGGTAAATTTACAAACAGTTCAAAAATTATAAATTTATGTACGTTTATAAATGCCAGATAGTACAGGTATTTGACATAATCATTTTTTGTAGGAGGACCAGGATGCCATGGAGTTAGATTTAGACAAAGACGAGGACATTCAGATTGATGACAGTGAACCGACGGGAGAGAAATTACTGACAGAGGAATACCAGGCTCTGGCCGGCTCTGGGAAACCAAAGAAAAAGGTCAGGGCGAGAACTAACAAGAAAGATCACTCCTGAAATGATAATATTTTATTGATGCAGTAATATATGTTGAAGATTTTAATAAATGTCAGTGATTGTTTAAAGGATATGCTTTTTTGTTTTATAAATCTGATAAATTATTCTTTTAACTATTTTTAGCATTTTGATGCAGTCATGCATGAACCTCTCCAGAGACCGATTACTCCAAGTCAACGTCGCGCTACAGAGCATCCGTCAATCATCCAGTGAGTGATCATATATAACACAGAAACAATCAGATTAACATTCAAAGTATTTACCAGTTATCTAATTTGTTTATCAATTTTTTTAATCTCAATTCAAAAACACAAATTCCTGAGAAGATTTGTATTTATGGATTTATTGTAATTTTCATGATCATTAGTTATCGTTCTGTATAATCTTTGGAACTGCAAATATATTTATCCCGCTTCAGACAAATTTGTCGATTACTGATTGGATAAAAGCTAATCACGTGACGCCCTGAAATTTTCCGTATTACGTCTCCGTTTCCATATTACGTCTCCGTCGAGGCGTAATATGAAAATCGGGCACGCGATTCCGTTCGAAGCGTTGTGATTGTAAATAAAAATGGCGGCTAAGAAACGGTTAAACGTAGGTAGTTCAGTTAAATTTCTTGTTACCATAACGATATTTTATGTTGATTGTTATTGGATAAAAACTAATATTTTCATAATATTCACAAATATTTTTTTTATATTGAAAAAGGTCTTCAGCGGGATAAATTCGTTACACAGTCAGTTAGTGACCTAATATGGATTCATACAGGGTGTGAAATGGAAATCCGTATTGGGACTCGGCTTCGCCTCGCCCAATACGGATTTCCATTTCACACCCTGTATGAATCCGTATTAGGTCACTAACTGACTGTGTAACTAATAATATCAGACTTAAATTTTCCCCAGCAAGTTCACTTGTAAATAAAGTTCTTGCTAATAATAAGTGGTTTTCAGTGCATGGTATGTCATAATAATTTATTGTCTATTATCAGGAGTCGTCCCACCTCCCAGCTGTCTCAGATTCCGGAGGGGAGGACCGACATGTCTCGCCCCCCGACCAGGAGCGGCAGTCGTCCCAACACCCAGGAGGGGCTCAGATCAGGTGAGTCATGTGACTCATTGAGGAGTATACCTCAGTTTGTTGTATCAGGGAGAATAACACAATTTTACCATATTGATTGTGTATGAGCTTTATTGGATTTTTTTAAACTACACTTTATAATGTCAGAACTAATTCAGAATCAATAAATGCTTTGTGTTTTTCATAATAAAATTGTTGAAAAAATAAATGGAATGATTTTAGGAATGGCAGTCTGAAGATTTATTCAATTAAATAATGTATATTTATTATATTTATAAATTTTAATTGCAGCTTCTAGAGTGAGTCAGCTCAGTCAGGGGAGTGCTAGGGCTAGTCGAGATAACCCAGAGTAAGTGGAACCTTGATGAAAGTAAAATCAAAAAAAAAAAAAATCAGAAACTAATTAATTTCAAAATAATGAATTTCAGTCCTGAAATACAGTTCATTGTAGGTTCATATGAAAATTTGTGCCTGTACAGTAATTGTTCAGACATGAAAAATTACTTAGCCCTATATACATGTACATGTATTTCTGATATTATTTATATAAATCATGATACATGTACATCAAATATACCAGGAAAATAAATTTTGCCCATTAACTTATTGATACCTGTATATTTTATTCAGTACATGTTTAATTTCTTATGTTAATACAGTTATACTGTTTTAAATAATGCAAAAAGTGGCAATAGAATTTAGCAAGTACATGTACACATTGTAGGGTGAAGGAATACAACCAGGCCTTTGGTTCCCGACCCAAGATTCCCCGAACGCCAGATGTGTCGAGTCTGGGAAAGAACTCCAATCAAAGCCGCATGTCACAGCAGAGTCAGGGGAAAATAAGTAAAGTGCCTCGTACCCCGGACTCGGGTAAGCGCCCCACCAGTCGAGGGTCCATCAGCGGAATGCCTCCCCCACAGCCCCAGTACTCAGAGTCAGGGCCACGCCCAAGTTCTGCAGGAAAATCTGGTAAGTAAAATGGACCTGCTTGTAATATTAATTAATTATGAAACACTTTAATTAATGATTTTTCAGAAAATATACCCTGTTGATGTGACTTATGTACATTTTCAGTCTCTGGATCAGAAAATGGTAAATTGTAGACAAAATCCTAACTCAGTGTTGTAATGAGGTGTAGTTGTGGGGTTATGGAACTTCTCTGGGTTTTTTGTTTTCTAAATTGTTATGTAGTGATGGGTTAACTTTTGGAATCCTCTGTTTTTTATGTTTTTCTTCATTTTTCAAAATATAAATTTCTCTTGAATTTATCAAAATTAGATACATGTAATAACTTAAACCATGTAAATAATTTTGTGTTTAATTAGCAGCAACCTAGAAATTAGAGGATGTAGATGGGTAAAGTGACTATAAATGTTCCACACTTTAATGTAAATAGATAAAGATCACCATAAACAATAACTCCACTGTTAAGCTGTCAGTGTTCTCTTTGTTTTGCACTTCATAAAAAAAGTTTCATGCAGTTAAACAATGTTTGGATGGTGAAAATCCAAACATTTATTTTATTTTCACAAATATGATACATTTTGAGTGTGGTTCCTTGATTATAAAGATATGTTGTAATGTAAAGGTTTATTTAGATAACAAATCTTAAATCTTCAAAAACTAATTAATTATTCTGCGTTGACGATAATTCTGTAGGCTCGAGTCTCCTATCTGTTCTGTGTAGTCTAAGTGACAGCAGTGAATATCAACCCAGTGCCGACTCGGGTATAAAGTGAACATTTCAGATTTATTTCATAATATTTCTTAGTTTTGTGTTTTATGTGTTACAAACTTTGGCAAGGTATTGATAGTAAAAAATGAAAGTGTACCCAAAAGAAACAAAAAAGTTTATTCCAATAGAAAAATATCTACTTGTTTAAAACTTGTTTAGTATGAACATGTATATATTGCAAATTCATGGATATAACGAAGTTATCTTGGATTCCAATCTATATAAATTTAATAAATTCCTTATACAGACATAACAAATTACAGATAAAGAAGTAATTACATAGGTCCCAGCGACTTTACTATAACCAAGTTTTACTGAATAAAGATTTTGTGAATTCTTTGAAAACAAACCTTCACTCCACTCATTCACATGGACTTAAATTTTTTGTGACTTTCTTTGCAGTTTGTTGTGAATTCTTTAAAAAAATTCATTTAATTTTAGTTTTTGATTAACATTGTGTTGCGTTTATGGATATAAATTACTAGTACATTTTGTCCGATATATACTTTTTAGAGCATTAATTTTTTCATCAGTGAACATAAATCTACAATGTGGAAGTTTGATGGGTAAATACAAGATATTTATACTGGATAATGTTAAAATAAGACCACTCTGTCACTGAGTGTTCCTTCATTTCACTAAAAAATTGTTTTTTTCTGTTGTTTAGCTCCACCCTCGAGGAAAGGATCCATTGCTAGTCAGAGAGAAACGCCGAAGTCTCCAGAGCCATAGTTATATACAGAGTTATTGTTCCTGCGTACTCCTATCTGCTTTCCTACATGGAATACATGTACGCTAACATTCAAATCAGTAACTGATTTATACATAACTGAGTAAATTTTTTTTAGTTTTTTTTTGTAATTTGAAATTCCATTGATGTAGATTGCAGATAATTTAGTATATAAGTATATTGAGAAATTAGTTAGAGAATAATGATAACGTTAGCTCTTAATTATCTAGCCTAATTTGATAAATTCTTAATTCAGCTTAATTATTTATTATAAATATATACTGAAAATACTTGCAGAATTTTAAAAGATTTATTCAATGAAATATTTTTTTTTCTTTAAATTATGTTAATTAGAATATTTGAATTTTGCAATATTTACATAAAACCAAGTTGTATCTCAGGTGGTTTGTTATGAAAGATTAAAATTATCGTTGAGGTCTTCGATGTATGTTTTTTTTTTTACATACATGTTTAACTCCCTTTTTTGAAAGGATGAATCTCTTCATATCCTTTTGTAGAAATGGTTGTATTTTCGCATAAAATGTATTATTTTTTAACTAATTTTCTCTGAAATGTATTTATTTTAATGTGGATCTCTTCTAGTCTGTGATATCAGTGATAGTACAGTGTATTTCTACCGGTAATCCTTAATTTCATAAGAATTTATTAAATTAATATAACTGTGCAAAACTTGATTGTATCACCTGCTCATCAGAGCCATCTTTGTGATCATTTTTCCAATATGTTTGCCCATACATCCTGACATTAAACTTCAAAATTGCTCCAGTTTTAAAAATATTTTACTAAATAAGGCAGTATACACTATGTTTCACAGACCATAATTTGGACTTCACTTGAAATTTAACACATTTAAAAATTTTCATAATACCAGTTACAGAATCAAACATTACCAGAATTAATTACATGCACCCATGCCCTTAACTTTTTATTCTGACAATAGTGTTCCTTTTGAATTGTAATAATTTTTATTGATTGTTTACTGTTACATTTATAATAATGAAATAACACTGATACTATTTTTATTCATAAAATATGTTCGGACATCACATTGGTACTCACCACATGACCTTGAACTTGACTTTAGTACATGCTGCAAACCTCTTTTAAGGTTCGTTGATACTCTGATAAGAGAGATAACTCTTAATGACACAAATGTCTATTATTCCTTTATAGATTTGCCAAGTTGAAGTGTCTTTTTTGTCCAATTTTGCCCTGCAAGCTAAGCTATTACATGTATTGTTTTTTTTATTTAAAAAATACAACATTTTATATAAATGAGCAGAGGGTTTATGAACCTTAAAAGTCCAGAGTATTGTTCAACAGTTGACAAATTTTTATTAAAAAAAAAAAAGAAATTGACTCTATGGTATATTTTTTTCATCTTTGGTTGATAGGAGTCTGCATTTATTCCATGCATTACTCCAAGTCACCTCTGAAGCATTCAGTCTCTCTGAAATATTGCTAATATTGGCAACATGTTTCCATAGGAACACTCTAGTTTAAACTCTGAATTGTATTATTGTATTAATTACAAAATAAAATCAATGTACCAATGAAAAATTACATTGCCTTAAGGATACACCAAAGGCTTTTTTCAAGATTTTTGTCAATTTTGAGATTTTTGGCTAAGAAAACAATGCTAATCACTGCTTTATAATGCATGAAAAATTCTTGCTGATTGTTGAATGGTTTTCTAATTATTTAACAATAATCAAACATAAACACTAACACATGTGAATGTGCCGTTATTGAAGCTTCTGATTTGGTCTGTAACTGCCTGCTACTGATAACAGTAAATCACTGTGTGTTAGCCACACAGAGGCTATTAATTAAACTACAGGGACTCTAGGTTTAGGGAAGGAGATTGTATTCACATAAGCTTCTCTGTAAAAAAAGAAGCTTTAATGTCAAGTGCTAATGGGAAGGGGATAGGAAAACATTCAACTACAGTCATTCCATATGATAGTATGAGCTATATGTAGCTCTCCAAATGTATTAAGTTGTTGTCTCATTCAGTGCTGAATTAATTCTTTATATGCATATGTCAGTACATTGTTTTGTAAACATGTCAAATAGTTGTAACTGGTTATTTCTTCATTTAGTCTCTGTATTGTTCATGTGATTCTATGAAATACTTATTTTTCCCATCTGCATGAATTTGCAGACTGAGTATTACTGAATTTATTAGAAATAAACTTTTACAAAGATTCATCTTGTTTAATTTAATGTTAAAGAATTTATGTATTTTGCATTTTACATCTCAAAAAGTTTTAATAGCCCTCTGAAATGAATGAAGACAAATTATTTGAATTTGAAATATTTATATTTCTATTGTCTTTGTCCGAAATAAAATTACTAATAGTTAATTAATGTTCTTTATTTCTACAGAAATGTAATGGTTCATCGATAGGCATGGTTTAAAAAAAATCATGTGCAGAGCGGGACAAAAAGAGACAAGAAAGTTGGCTTGTAGCACAATTGGCTACAAGAGCTTTTAAATATAAGGAATAACTGTCCAATTTTTCGATTTCATGACGATGATCAATCGATTGGCTTGCATGATAATTTTATGCATAAAAGCCTTCAGCGTTTATGCAAATTATCACGCTAGCCAATTGATTGATCACATGAAATCAAAAATTATTTATTCCTTAAATAAATTTGCTTGGATTTTTTTCCCATGAGATGAATGAATTCCTTCCATGTTGCCTACAGTCAATGAGAAAACAGTAATTTATGTTTGTGACCTCTTCTTTGGAGTAATTTTAAACTGAAGTTGAAGAATTATTACTTTTGACATCAAGATGAATGCTTCATTTTTTTTGTGAAAAGCAAGGGAAAAAAATCTGAATTAATTATGATGTCATTATGACCACAGCTATTCAAATACATATCAATAATCCTTAAATATGAATTTAAATTTTTTGAATCATGGTTTTGTGGTTGACTTCCATCAACCAGTAGTGCATATATTAGTAATTACCTTACTGGACAAAACATTTTCCTTTTCTTCTTTCCTCAGTCTGTTACATTTAAAATAAAGAACAATAACTACTAGTACCTATTATATGATTTAATTCCTGCCTCTTTTTTCCTAAATGTGATACAACTTACTTTTTCAAAAAAATGCGCACTAGCATCTATACAACTGGAACTACGCAGTAGTTAACAGTTTATACTTGTAGAACAAATTGACAAATCTAGCTGACAGGGGAAATTTAACACAATGATTGTTTCTTCTTGGGAGCATTTTTAAATAAACATTTTGATTAGTTTTAGAACCTGATGAAAGTTAAATTAAATACTTTGAGGTAAGATGGTACATTGAGAATCAAAAGTAAAAAGAATTTGTACATGTAAGACTGTGAATGAAAATTACAAGTCGCATATAAAACTAAAAATATGACCTCAAAATCCCACTTTAAAGAAAACAAACAAAACAGTTCCCTTGATTGCATTCACCAAAACACACAGGAAAAACAAATTTTACTGAGAGTATGTTACATGAACAATCTAGAGATTCTGAATTTCCTTTGTCTAATCAAGTTATTGGCACGAGGGGCAGCAGAATTGTGCAGCATCAACATTCTGTAACATTCCTACGAAAATTGGATGTATATCAGCACTATATAAAACTATTCATAAAGTTTACAAAATTAATATACAGTATATATGTAGCTATTCTACATATTGCATCCAATTCTTAGAATGTCCAACTCGATGTTCAAAGGGTTAAAATGTAATTGGGTTAAATCATGAACTATAATCCAGAATAATATCACAGTAAAGTATAAGAAATAAAATCCATATGTCCTGGAATTCATCTTGGAGTTTTCTTGCCCTTTGGTGCAGCTTTTGATTTCCCTACGAAAAGAAAAATAATTCATATAATTTTTATCTAAAGGTGGTGAAAAAATGTACATTTATGCTATTTAAATTCTTTGACCAATGTCAAAACCATGCATCTAAATTGCCTGCACCAACCTGCTGCAGGTTTGTTGAGGGCCAGGAGTCGTCTTGGGTTCTGTTTACACCCCTCCCGGCTCATTAAGTGGGCTTTCCACCCCTCCTCTCCTCCCCCTATATTCTGGTGACACAGTGGACAGTGGTTAAAGCCCTGCTTGGAAGCTGGAAATTAAAGGATGAAGATGAAATAAAGATTCAAAATACTGCACCAATCGATCACTGACTTTGTTAAGTTATAAATACATGAATTTGATAGCACATTCCCCAAAACAATTTACCACTGGTATTAATTTATTTACATAAAGCAAGAAAATGAAATGTAATGCATGTTATTCCCGATTTACTTACGATTACAGCTTTTAGCAGCTACATGTTCATCAAAGTCTGACTTAGGTATAGCCTCGGAACATCGAGGACACTTAGAATAGTTAGATTTAGCCTCACACTCTGTCAGTAAATGTTCTGTGTAGCTGGCTATCTCCACAACCTGAGAGAAAAAACATTGAATGACATAATTATCATTTAAGATTTTTAAAATGACTTGCTTTTTTTCCCCGACTCATTTATGAATATTATGCAATTGATTTGAACTTAATTTTGATAAACCAGAGATATGTTGAACTAAGTTGACAGTCCCAACCACCTTTTTTTTCATGTATTTTACCTCATTATTTTGAACGGTTAAATTTTTCAAAAGCTTTATCTTAACACAGGGCAATGTTTACTGACCTGTTTACAGTTTGTACATTTCTTTAACATATGGCAATGTTTACTGACTTGTTTACAGTTTGTACATCTCTTTAACATAAGACAATGTTTACTGACTTGTTTACAGTTTGTAAATCTCTTTAACATAGCACAATGTTTACTGAACTGTTTACAGTTTGTACATCTTTTTAACATAGGACAATGTTAACTGACTTGTTTACAGTTTGTACATCTTTTTAACATATTAGGGCAATGTTACAGTTTGTACATTTCTTTTACACTATGTACATTGTTTACTGACCTGTTTACAGTTTGTACATCTCTTTAACATAGGGCAATGTTTCCATCTTTTTAAATAGGGCACAGTTTGTACATTTATTTTAAACTATGTACAATATTTACTGACCTGTTTACAGTTTGTACATCTCTTTAACATAGGGCAATGTTTCCAATAATGCAGATCTAATCCCTCCTCTGTAAAGCTCTCATTTCTCTCTCCACAGAAAATACAGATGCTGAAAATACATTACATACCCATTCAGTTCACATATCGAACCTACGCATTATCATCTAAAACTTCATGTTATCAGATTAACAATCGGTGTCTCATACTTGTCCATATTGTACATGGAAACATCATCATCATCCTTCTGTTTCTTCTTGTCTGTCTTTTTCTTTGGATCAGCTTTTTGGCCCTAAAAAGAAAATGAAACAAAAATTAACAATTATCAAGCTGTTTAATTACCTAACAAATCTCTGAATAACTTCTGACATTAAATAGAAACATGTAGCAGTATCTTGCATGCATCTTTCTTTCACAGATGTCACAAATATTGGAAAGGATATTTAAATTAAGTCAATAATGATTAAAATGAATAATTAAAATCGTGACAAAAAATTTATAAAGATAGTTTTTACTAAAAACTTTATCTTGTCTTCTGTGACAATTTTTTTTTTTTGATATTGAATATCTTTAACATTCTTTTGAAAAACAAAGTCATTTTTGGATTATGGGTTTAGTATACATAAAACTGTATCAAAAATAATGCCCAATGGGGAAAAACCAATCAAAAATTGCTGCAGGAATGAGGGAAGTCCAGAAAGCTGAACAGACATTATATTCAATGAAAACAGTAAGGTCAAAGGTAACAAAAAAAGAGGCCCAGATCAGAACTGAAAGTAAACTGGGGAGGGGGGGGCTTGAATTTTACACCCCCCCAGGTCATGATTTGAACAAACTTGGATCTACACTACCTGAGGATGATTCCCTATAAATATATCGAAGCCTGGCTTTGAAGTACTTGAAAAAGAAGATTTTAAAAGGTTTCCCTTTATGTTCCTATGTAAAACTTTGATCCGCCATTTTGGCCCCACCCTACCCCCGGGGGTCATGATTTGAACAAACTTGAATCTACACTACCTGAGGATGATTCCACATGAGTTTAATCTTTCCTGGCCCAGTGGTACTTGAGAAGAAGATTTTTAAAGATTTTTCCTATATATTCCTATGTAAAACTTTGGTCGGCCATTTTGGCCCCACCCTACCCCCGGGGGTCATGATTTGAACAAACTTGAATCTACACTACCTGACTATGATTCCACATGAGTTTAATCTTTCCTGGCCCAGTGGTACTTGAGAAGAAGATTTTTAAAGATTTTTCCTATATATTCCTAAGTAAAATTTTGGTCGGCCATTTTGGCCCCACCCTACCCCCGGGGGTCATGATTTGAACAAACTTGAATCTACACTACCTGAAGATGATCCCACATGAGTTTCATCTTTCCTGGCCCAGTGGTTCTTGAGAAGAAGATTTTTTTAAAAAGATTTTTCCTATATATTCCTATGTAAAACTTTGATCGGCCATTTTGGCCCCACCCTTGCCCCAGGGGTCATGATTTGAACAAACTTGAATCTACACTACCTGAGGATGATTCCAAATGAGTTTCATTTTTCCTGGCCCAGTGGTTCTTGAGAAGAAGATTTTTTAAAAATGCCATTAATTTTTCTCTAATTCATAATTATCTCCCCTTGGGAAAGGGCCTGGCCCTTCATTTGAACAAACTTGAATCCCCTT